CGCCAATAGACAGAAATGAAAAGTCCTTATTAAAATATGGAAATAAAGTCCAAATGTAATAAAAAACTTGGTATTATGTTCGTCTCTGTAGTTTTGTTCCTTCCTGGTATATGAAGGAGGGTGATGAATGATGAGGTGGTGTGGAGTGATCCAACGGGTATCCAAATGAAAAAGAAGAGGTAATACTCACTTTTAGTAGAGCTTAATCCAGCTCTGGTGTGGATGGCTTGCAGCGGTATTATCCCCGCTTATAGGATATATGGTGAGCTTCCTCTTCAGTATGATGACCGGCAACCAGGTAGAAGATGAAACGAAAAAGCAATAATAGTGCAATATGTCCCAAAAAGTAGATAAAAGGTATAAAAAATATAAAAGATACACTCACATTTAATAGAGCTTATACTAGCTCTAGTGTAGTAGGCATGCAACGGTATGATCCCCCGTATCTGGGATATGCGGTGAGCGTTCGTTGGTACAGTTCTTTAGGGTGGTAGCAGGAGCTCAGGAAGAAGATAATAAAACAGCAATAGTGCTCTCAGTAAAATAATGCTGATTAATAAAATAAAATAAAATATACTCACAGTATATAGGGCAGACTAACTGCTCTATGGTATAGGCGCGGGTGGTATGATCCCCACCTCAGGATGTGTTGGAGTATTGACGACAATAAATAAAAAAGCCAGGTATTTTAAAATAAAAAATAAAAATAAATAAAAGATAGTGGTACAAGAGAATAAAGTGACCAAAATCTATTTATTGACAATAATTTAAAAAATATATTAGTATATAAAAAATATAAAAGATCTGAGACAGTAAGTACCTCTAGTGGCCAACTGAAAAAACCCAGAAAGCACCTCTAGTGTCCGTCTGAGTTACTGCCACTGGAGGTTTCCCTAAGCAGTAATGTAAACAATGCCTTTTTTTTGAAAATGAGAAGTAAAAAGCCTGCAAGGTCGGGTACTAGACACCAAAACGACTACATTAAGCTGTAGTTGCGCTGGTAACTATATTGTCCCTTTAAATTTTAATATCTGTGATCCAGGGGACCTAGATTTTACAAAACATTCTAACATAATGATGTAGCAAGCAGCAATGTGGTCAATCAAAAAAATAAACAAATGTATAGCATCACAGGACATCCATTGCTGCTTGCTTTTTAAAATAAATGGGTCAGTTGACACTCTAGGCCAATCAGTAACTCCCCATTCACAAAACTGTCTGAAAAACATATGTATTTTTCTCAAGCCATTTTGTGAATGGGGACTGGCTGGCATAGAGAGTCAACTGACTTTGGTGTTAAACCATTAGTGAACAGCCTCACCCCTCAAGGTAAACCCGTGCCTGGGACTTCCTGGCACCATAACAACTTAATACCAATTATATAGTTATTGTGTCTGGAACGTTCCTTTAAGTGTATATTTTAGGATAGCAGACGAGGATCTGTGACAGAGAATAGGGCAGATATTTCTAGATAATTGAAAGAGCTAGGTGTCTGATGGAATTGGTTTATATAAAATCTGATAATACTCTTACAGTTCCCTTTTAAAAAGGTGACAGTTTAAGACAAAACCACCACTTATGAAAATAATGTCTAACTCCTCTCAGTGTTTCACACATAATTATTATAATCATTGTTCTAGATGTTGCAAGAATTGTTTTTGAATGATTTCTCTTTAGTGGGACTGGACTTGAATTGAGCATGACCAACAGATGGCAGCATTTGGCTTGTTTTCCAATTCACAGCTGAAATGCATTTCACGTTGGTATGTGAAGGAGAAATGTACCTTGGATGTATACATATTATTTCTAACATGTTTAGAGCATGGAGATTCATTTCACAAATAAAACAACATAAATGCAACAATGACATGACGTGTGTTTTGGACTTTCAGAAGTTAGACTGGATCTGGGTGGTCTTAACCCTCAAAGAGACAGAGAAATTGCTTGCCAGTCTAACATTTAAATTTGAATGGATAGTGTTAAAATCAAGGTGAGTAAAACGTGTATAAAAGTGTGCGCGTTTAGGGGGAAGGGCAAAACCGATTGTTCAGGATAGGGCAAACGGTACTCCCTGTATTACTGAAAGCAAGCCTATGTTTCGGAGAGAGATTAGTTTATTGCAGTCTCTGGAGAAAATCCTTAGAGCTTCTCATGCAGTACTCTAACCAGCACTGCACCATGCCATGCACAGCAAAATATACACTTACTGTTTCAGTTTTTGACTGTGGCACACCAGCACTCTTTTCTTTAGGTGTACACATACTCCAACAATCTTTAGTGTAACATTACTGGTATCAATTATTAGATAGAAAAATGTAAGCAATGCTTTATAGTGAAGGGACTAAAAAGACATAAAATGTTTTCAAGCCAAATACATTAATTAGATTAATATCACAAGAAAGAGTTTGTTTTAATACATTTTCACTTGTATCAACATTTAGATTTCATTGAATACCCATGCCATTAGTGTATAACCTCCAGCTTTAAGATCAAAGTAAAAAAATGCCTGGAGTATACTTCCTCCAAACCAGCCATGAAATTAAATTATTTGCTTTTTAGCACAATCTTCAATGCACATGTGTGTAACCCGAATAATACACAGGTTTTGTTTTGGAATAAATATTCAATTTATGATGAACAGAATGGTGAATTTCATTGATAATAAATGAACCCATAAATAGCCTCACTAATAACCCACAGTACCAGTTTGATGAGTCGTGCATTCCTTACATAAGAATGACATTTAACCCCTTAAGGACCAAACTTCTGGAATATAAGGGAATCATGACATGTCACACGTCATGTGTCCTTAAGGGGTTTTAAAGTGGTAACAGTGTCCCTGTAAAGTGAATGAATTTGCCCACTAACAATCTCTCTTTTAACACAGAATGTATTTGGATGAGCCATGTATGTGTTCCTTACATGAGAATGATATGTAATGGTTTAAAAATGATTGAAACTTTGTAGCACTAGAATAACCTAAACAATACAAAATGTACATTTAAATAATTCAACGTTAAATTTAGCCAGTTTGACAGTCAGCACGTCTAGCTTTGGATTTGTTTTAAAGACTGCAGTGTGTGTGGTGTGTCACTGTGTCAATAAGAGAAAATTCAAGCTAAGTTCACAATCAATTCTACACAATCTATTCAAGCTGCCACTGAAATATCAAAATTATTTTATATGTTCTTAGGGTGAACTCGCATGTGTTTTAAAAAAAAAAAAAAACAATTTTCAAAGAAACATTGGTAGAAATGTATTTGTTTTCTGATTTTCCAGTCCTTACTCTTTTTATGAACACATTATCTTTGCTCTGCAATGCAAACAGAGATTAGAAAATAGTTTAAAGGTATTCAAGTAAAGATCTATGGACTAAAATAACTTTAATAGATTTGGAAACACACACATATGTCTAATGCATGATTTAATTATTACCAATCAGGTCCCTTTTTCTAAATCAAACTCTTATATAATGTGCATTCCTAGCACTTTGTACTTTGCTCTAACACCTCCCATGACATTAAAATATGTAATAATCAGTGCATGTTTGCAGTGCTGGAAAGAAATGCTGACGTTTACTATGAGAGAGAAAAAAAACAAAACCAAATCAATTATGTAAAAGTCCATGATCCCAGTGTTATGTATAGTACGTTGCATAATATTTACTGATTCACATAGCTTTATTACATAGTACACATTTCTTAAAGAGACAGAAATATAAATCAGATGTGTGGCTTGTAAAGTTAACATGGGACATAAAAGAGAATCAGTAGCTTTGTAATATAAAAAAAAAAGGTTTTTTTTTTTCTGTATTTCTGAAAGTAGATTTAAGATGTCAGATTTTAATAATAAAAAAGAAACAAATAATGCAAGGCTTTCTGATGTCACAGACATCAGGCTCGCAAGAGCCAATTATAGTACAATTGATGTTACTATAAGCAGAGTTTGTGCATTACGCATGAACAAATACACAAACATACCTTGTATAAAAACTATTTAGCTCTTTCAAAACTACATAAAAAATACCTGTCTCATTTATAAAAAAAAAAAAAGATCCTTCATCAATTTTTACTGAGGTGGATTTTTTGTTCCATATTGGCTATTTTTGGTTTTTAAAATGCAATACCTCTGGTCATTTCCTTACAAAACAAAACAAATAAACCCAATAATGTAAAAAAAATAAAAAATAAAAAAAATAAATAAAAAGGGATTAAAAACACAGCGCAACAGACTCGTCTACAAAATCAGCGTGCATTTCCACCTATATTTTAAACATCTTTTGCAATAAATTTTCACAGTAATTATTTTATTTTTTTGTGTCGCCTTCTTTACTGTGAACAGTTATGAATTTATGTGCTGACGTTATTTTTCTCACCGAAGTGCCATTAATTTTTCATCTCCTCTATTCCAGCTAACCAATCTAATCTAATCCTTGAACCTAAAATATATATATATTTTTTTTAATTGCAGAATATTATGGGTTGACCTCTTCTATCTCTGTCCATAGGTCTCCAATGTACCTACCCAGCCTATCATAATGTTACATATTAATTTATTATTATTATTATTATTATGATGGTTTAAAGCCCTATTATTGTCAGTATTATTTACAGACAGTATTATTGTGGCTGCCAGTGACCCTGATTGATCCATTGCTATAGCTATATTAACACAGGTAAGTGTCCATGCAGGAATCCCCACCTACTGACATGGGAGCAGCCTAGCTGCTGCAGCGAGTTCAGCCCGGAGAGAAACCTCGCCGAGCTTTATAAATAACAGCACACTGAATGGCGTCTACGCCTCATTTACTACCCGCACCTCAACCGAACTTCACCTCTCCCTCAGGCTCAGAGCGGACAGGAATAACAAGTGACGGGCAGCCGGCGCCGACCAATCACAGGGCTGGAATCGCCGCCCCTCCCTCCTCCTTCTCCGAAGCCTCCTTTTTTTTTCAGTTTAGTAAAAGATTAGAATGTGGGCGTGGCCTGTCTGCAGTGCGAGTTAGCAGGTTAGAGTGAGCCCTGGCGGCGGCTCCGGGCTCCACGCACTGTGTATGTGTGGTGGTGGTGAAGCCGCTTGCTGCTGGGGTCACGTGCTGCGGAGAGGGAGACGGAGGCGGCTGGAGCTGGGAGGGGGCGGACTGCGCTCCCGAGCAGTCAGACACAGACACAGCTTGTTTTGGTTTATTTCTCAAGGAGAAGTCGGAGAGAGGAGGAGGGGGGGAGACAGAGACGCGGAGAGCGCGAGAGGGGAAGCTCTCTGGTCAGAAACTCCAGCAACTCCTGGATGCTGCACGAGCCAGGGAAGCCCTCACCTCCCCGCGCTGACCGGCTCCTTGGTACCGTCCTCCAGTTACCCCCCGCTCGCTGGCAGTTGCTGGGGTCACTGCCCTGGTAGCCGGGCTCGGAGGAGGAAGGAGAGAGGGTGAGAGCGCAGCTACCTGCCCTGCCTGCCTGGCTGCCCTCACCGCTCGCTGCTCCCCATCCTGGCAATGGGACTGAATGGGGACACGGACCGGCTGTGATTCCCAGCCAGCTCTGACCTTGCACTGGGGGGTCTGCGGAGGATCACCTCGCCCTGTGCCCGGCTCCTGGACCGCAGCTCGGGCTGGGCTCTGGAGGGCAGATGCCCAGGGGGATCGTTCCCATTGCTGCCCTGGGATTTCGCCGGGATTGTTATGGTGTCTGAGGGCGAGCTGCAGTACTCGGTGGCTTCTTTCTGGGATGTAAGAGAAGAGGGACCTGCAGCAACGTGCTGAGCCCAGCAAGGGGACATAAATACAATAAATACTACTCTGCCTGTTTGTGAAGTGGATCTCTCTCCACTTCATCACTTTAAATAAGTGGTGCTGATTTTTTTTTTTTTTTTTTCCTGCAATCTTCTGCATACACTTTATTGACGAGGAGTAGGAAGGTGTGCGGAAATATATTTATATATATATATATATATATATATATATATATATATATATTTTTTTTAATTTTTTTGGGTACGATTTTTTTTCAATTTGGTTATTTTTCTAATTTAAAAAAATAAAATTATATATATATAATTTTTCTATTTTTTTTTTGGTACGATGGCTAGCCCGACAGACCTTTATCCTCAGGAAAACTTCTCCGATGTTAGGAAGGTGGGCTACCTTAGAAAGCCCAAGACTATGCACAAGAGATTTTTCGTGCTCAGGGCTGCCAGTGATTCGGGTTTAGCCAGATTGGAGTACTATGAGAATGAGAAAAAGTGGAGGCATAAGTCTGGGGCCCCAAAGAGGTCCATTCCCCTGGAGAACTGCCTTAATATCAACAAGAGGGCGGATTCTAAGAATAAGCATTTGGTGGCTCTGTATACAAAAGATGAGTGTTTTGCAATTGCTGCTGATTGTGAACAAGAACAGGAAGGATGGTACCAGGCTCTGGTGGACCTTCATAATCGTGGTAAAACACACAGTCACCACAATAACCATGATGGAGCTGCTAGTGGGGTAGATGGAGTAAATGGGGAAGATGTTTATGGAGAAATGACTCCACCAGGCCTGGCCTTCAAAGAAGTATGGCAAGTGATAATGAAACCCAAAGGATTGGGGCAAATAAAAAATGTTGTTGGAACGTACCGCCTGTGCCTGACCAGCCGCACTATTAGTTTGGTGAAGCTGAACTCTGATGCAGCAGCAGTAGTTTTGCAGCTCATGAATATTCGGAGATGTGGCCATTCGGAGAATTTCTTTTTCATTGAGGTTGGTCGTTCTGCAGTAACAGGATCTGGTGAATTCTGGATGCAAGTCGACGATTCCGTTGTCGCACAGAACATGCATGAGACAATCTTAGAGGCTATGAAAGCACTGAGCGAGGATTTTAGACCTCGCAGTAAAAGCCAGTCTTCATCCAACTGCTCCAACCCCATATCTGTTCCCCTTAGGAGACATCACCTTAACCACCCACCACCCAGCCAAGTAGGGCTTAACCGGAGAGCACGCACAGAGAGTGTTACAGCCACGTCTCCAGCAGGGGGTGCTGCTAAACATGGAACATCGTCCTCATTCAGGGTTCGGGCATCCAGTGATGGTGAGGGTACTATGTCAAGACCAGCTTCAATGGATGGTAGTCCTGCAAGCCCTAGTGCCAATAGAGCTCAGTCACATAGACATAGAGGAAGTGCTCGCCTACATCCACCACTTAACCATAGCCGGTCTATCCCTACTCCGGCAGCTCACTGCTCTCCATCAGCTACTAGTCCTGTCAGCCTATCATCGAGTAGTACCAGTGGACATGGCTCTACCTCTGATTGTTTGTTCCCACGAAGATCTAGTGCCTCAGTTTCTGGTTCGCCGAGTGATGGCGGATTCATTTCATCAGATGAATATGGTTCTAGCCCTTGCGATTTCAGAAGTTCTTTCCGCAGTGTGACTCCAGATTCTCTAGGGCACACACCACCAGCCCAAGAAGAAGATTTGAGTAACTACATCTGCATGGGAAAACCAAGCAGTCAAATTCAAAAAGGCCTTCAACAAAGGTACCACTCAAGTCGGGGAGAAGAACACCATGACTTGGACAAGGTTTTCAGAAAGCGGACCCATTCTTCAGGAACATCCCCACCAACTGTATCACATCAGAAGACCCCATCACAATCTTCTATTGAAGAATACACTGAGATGATGCCTTCTTATCCTCTCCGTCTGTCGTCTTTCAGACACTCGGCTTTTGTGCCCACATACTCTTATCCAGAAGAGTGCCTGGATCTCCACCTTGAGGCTAACAGAATTAATCACACGGATGATGGATACATGCCAATGTCACCTGGTGTTGCCCCTGTGCCTCCCAAAAGTAATGACTATATGCCTATGAGTCCCAAAAGTGTGTCTGCCCCACAGCAGATTATTAATCCTAGAAGACATTCTCAGGTGGACTCAAATGGCTACATGATGATGTCCCCCAGCGGTAGCTGCTCACCCGATACTGCAAATTACTGCAAGATCTGGACCAATGGTACAAATCCTAAGTTGTCAATGGAAAGTAATGACGGCAAATTGCCTTGCAATGACTACATTAACATGTCCCCAGCTAGTGGCTCCACTACAAGCACCCCTCCAGATTGCTATCTGAATACTGTTGAAGAGCCCCCCAAACCTGTTTATTCTTATTTCTCTCTACCCAGGTCCTTCAAGCATGCTCACAGGAAGAATGAAAATAGCCATTTGCGTATGTCTGCTAATGCTGGACATCACCTGTATGCTGAGGACTCCTCTTCTTCTTCCACTAGCAGTGATAGCTTGGGAGGTCAAGACTCACAGCAAACACGGAAGGGTGAGACATGTCTCCCAGGCAAGCGATTAACAAGGCCCACGCGACTTTCTTTGGAAACTAGCAAAGCTAGCACTCTCCCCAGGGCTAGGGAACCTGTCTTGCCTCCTGAGCCCAAGAGCCCTGGAGAATATGTCAATATAGAATTCAGTGACAAAGCCTTCTCTGGGGGTTCATTGTCTTCCATGTGCTCCCTGCCATATGTGCAAAGTAGAGTGGTACCACAGAGGGAGAACCTGTCTGAGTACATGAACATGGATCTTGGAGTGTGGAGGGCCAAAACAGCCTATGCGTCGTGTGCATCAACCTATAAACCTACATGTAAACCTGCTAGCTCACTGTGCTCTCCTGATATATGCAGTAGCAGCCGTCCACCTGTCCGAGCAAAGTTGGTTGCCCGGGACTCAATGAGCATGCAAAATGGTACACTTTGTTCAGATTATAGTCAAATGACACCTTCCAGGATCACAGCCAGGGCCACCTCTTCTTCTAGTAAAAGTAATTATGCAGAAATGTCTATTGGCGGGGTCCCTGAAGATAGCTCTGCTGTGCTCTCAACTCCTAACACAAATTTGTCAGAAACTCTTCATTCTTCTCTATTGGGCCAGGGATCTGGCCCGAGCGCCTTCACCAGGGTGAGCTTAAGTCCTAGCCGTAACCAGAGTGCCAAAGTTATTCGTGCTGGTGATTCACAAGGCAGGAGGCGGCATAGCTCGGAAACCTTTTCATCTACCCCTACCACCTCCAGAGTCAGTGCTGGCCCAGTTTCTGGGGAGGATGTTAAAAGACATAGCTCTGCTTCCTTTGAAAATGTATGGCTCAGATCTGGAGACACTGCCAGGAGGGAATCTCTTCAGCATTCAGACCACCTGCATAATGGCCTCAATTATATTGATCTGGATCTGGCCAAGGATCTGAGTGTCCTGGAGCATTGCAACTCCCATCAGACAGGGGCAAGCCACCCCTCAGATGACCTAAGCGCCTATGCCAGCATCACGTTTCACAAGCTGGATGAACACCGGAGCCAAGCAGAAAATGAAGGTAATTTATCATAAAAGCACATACATTACACACATGGCACTTTTGTTTTTTGACCCAGTAGTTCTGAGATGGTCATGGTAATCGCATGTGCTGAGAAAACCTAAGCTACTGATTCTCATACTTATGGAACCCTTATGGAATCCTTAAGGAACCCCTAACAAGATGGGGTCTAAATGTGTTCATACTATTCTAAACATTTTAATGGTTGCTTAACTAAGCGAAGTACACAATATCACAATTTCCTGGTCTTTAATTGTATTTGTTTTTAAATGTTGTTGTTTTTTTTTTTTTTTTTTTTTAACTAGAACATTATGTTGGGATTTAGGGTTTTGGTCATTTCCACACTACTCTTTACATGTTTGTAGTGGTCCATTTGTTGTACCTTCTGAGACATCATTTGCGTTGGCACATAATTTATGTGCTAGTGCTCTGGTGGCTTTATATATGCACCTGTCAATGCGGAACTTGCTCTCCAACTAATTCTGCAGTTCAGTAGCTATGAGTTGTTGTTATATTTTAATTGTCATTTGATCAGAAAATAGGACTTTGTTCTAAGAACTACATTTGTTTTTTTTTTGTTTTTTCTTGCAGTTATTAATTCTTCTCAGAGTTCATTGACTGCTTTGGAGTGATTTTGAACCCTAGATTGAATATTCTAATAAATTGGCAAATTCTGAACATATCCTAGAAAATGCTATTTGCTTGTGAAAGGATTAATTCTTCTAACTATAGAGTAGGCTGGTCAAAGAAAAATCTAGGTGTATCTGTGTAATTTTTAGCCTTTGTACTAGCAGTCTACAACTGCATTGACACTCAGCCAGCAAGGCGAGTGGTCGCATAACATGACAGTTGACAACATGATATATGCTTTTAGAAGAGTCATAGTCAAGCACCCTTTTTTTTTTTTAAATCCTGCTATTTCGTGTATTTTAACAAACTATGAGTAATTCGTTTTATGTTCAGCTTTTCCAAACACCAAAAGTTCTGTTCACGTAATTCCAATCAATCACTTTCTAATTTGACAGTCTGTATTGGTTTGCACTGTATTGTTGGTATATACTGCAACCAATGTAGTAATTGCTTGACATCTGATACATTTTTTTTTTTTTTTTTACAATCTGAGATCCAAAGCAATGTGCACTTAAGGGTGACCCAATAAAGAACATCTCTTGTATAGTGCTTGGTGGCTGTAGAATACTGTACCAGATTTTTTTTTTTTTTAAAGCTGTTCTGTGCTCTGTGAATTTCAAGGTCAAGCTAATCTGAAGTTCTCATTTTGTGCCAACCAGATACCCTTTGTACTTTGTGTCCGTAGTGTGCATTATAGTACGTTTATGGACTGATTCCCTTCCTCACATCTTGTATACATTTCATTATGCATGAGGAGAAATTAGATAATTTAATTTGTTTTGTTTTTTGTTGCCATTTACATTTTTCACAAACCGACAACTGCTTATTTTCACACACTAAAAACTCCCTATAGACTGTGTTTAGTGATGCACTAGTTATTTAATGAGAATTAAGTCTTAATGGTTCTTGCTTGAAATCATATCCATGCTCTCAAAGGTGTCTAATTGCATGTTGCGAACAATTATCTCACACTACATGAGACATGCCTGTAGTTTTTCAAATATGTAAGCTTGACTCTATCGTAATCCAAGCAGAACATATAACACATATAATACTTTTTTTTTCCCTTTTTTTTTATTTATTTTTTTTAAATCCATTCAAGCTCTTAATTTGTGCACTGTAAAGCATCAAAGTTTAATGGATTTTATTTTTGCATGTAGTCTGCGTGTGTTTTGATTTAACAAGTTCCAGGTTACTAAATGGTTGTTTGGTTTAAGTGTATGTTAGAAAAACAAAAATGTTGCGTGCATGTATAAAATGTGGTTTGTGCTTATATGGATAAATAGTGTTTGCAAATCTAGAGTATATCACGTAGAATGGTTGTACTCGAATAATATGTAGTGTGTGTGCTATATGTGTATTAGAGCTTAATGGTCTTATTTCAGCTTGCATGTGTTAATGAGTACACAGTGTGCGTTGTACGTGCTTTCACTGTTTTAGCGTATCATGTTTACAGGGCTTTGCTATGCTTTTCCATCGAGAAAAAGGAACAACGTGGCTAGTGCAACTTCATGAATGAATGAATTAGAGCGTGGGAATCTATCATTCCATGGGCTCATTGCTGTTATCCCGCCCTCTCTTCCTCCTTATTAACACACATCCGCTTAACCCCCTTGCCTTTCCATAACCATTTGGCAGCTGAGAGCCTTTCTGTATGCTTGTTTACTTTTCTCCTAAAGCAACAGGGTTTGCTTCTGCAGCATATGTTTCAGATGTTATTACATTGTCTTACGCAACCTGCATCCGAGCACCTACTCACCATAATTACTTTTAACAAATTTCCCCTCCAGAGTTCAGCCTCTTGCATTGTCCGTATCTGGAGCTAATTTTAAATGTGATAGGCGCACGTACTAATTTGCCATTTCTGTACATTTTCTGTTCATTTTCTCCTGAACACTTTTTTTTTTTTTTTTTTTTATAAAGACTTCGTTAACCTAAAAGAATAGATCATTTAAAGCTCTTACAATGTGTCCTAATACTTTTTGTTTGTACACGAAATTATATAACTATACAATAAGCACCTTGAGTTGGAGGGGTGTGAGAAAATTTCACTTATCTTGCTCACAAATGGTTAAACTAGTTAAGCAGGATTTTCACTTGCTTTATCTACTGGCTACTGTTACACCAGCAGTCTGTCACCATGTTGAACGTAAAAAGTATGCTAAGGCATTAACATTGTAATCTTGAAAATCATTGCCGTTGGCACTGCGTAAGTGAAATTATGCAATTAAGTGATGTGAATGTACTTAATAAAGGTCAGCCCCATCAATCATTTAAAATAGGACACTTGATCAGGTACATTATGTGATTGGCCACTTTCTTCATGTGTGCCGGCAAATAAGTTAAAGTGTCAGGTCAAGCACCATAACCAATTCAGGGATTTGAAGTGTTCGTGGTACTTGCAATCTGTGTTTATAGAGTTTTTTTTTTTTTTTTGTTATGAAATGCTGCAAATACAGATTTTATCCCCTTTGCTGACTAGGTTGTAAACCCACCTCAGGGGATGTCGTTGGGATGTCGTTTACACCCATCATTAGCCATCCCGGAACAAGGGTTCTGTAGAAGTTGGTTGTCGTAAGTCTACTGCAAAGGCGACCTGGCAACCTCAAAGGACCCGTGTAAGAGGGAAGACTGTTGTAAAACTGTTTGCCCCAATACTGAGAATTGGCCCCAGGGTTGTAGGGATTTATAATGGCTGGAGTAACCCTTTAAAATTTCAATTAAAACAAATATTTTTGTTTTGACTGAATTACTATTGCACAGCGCTACGGAACTCGCTGGCACTATATAAATAATAAATAATTACACTAGGTATGAACTAGTGTTAGATATTTAAATTCTTTTGTTTAGGTAATCCCTATTATTCCCACAAAAAGTAGACTGTTCCTGTAAAGATAATGGGATATTGTGTGAAAAGAATACAAATTCTCATGTTTTGTGTGAGAAGCAACTTTTACGCCATTTGTGGTTTTAAAACCGTACTAATTGTTATATCGTAGCAAGTTATATTGCTTGGATATATGTTGGTGCAATTAATATCAGATTATATTGAACAAAACTGCACTTTCATAATGGTCTTAATTTGATCCGTAGGGGGAAAAAAACGCTAATTTTTTAGATATTATGTATGTCACTATACCCGTAGTTTTGATAGGCATATCCAATTTTTTTATTTTTATTTTTTTATAGATAATTTTCTAAATAAATAAATAAATATATATATATATATATATATATATATATATATATATATATATATATATATATATATATATATAATTTTTATTTTATTTTTTATACTACTAGTATGTTTTTTAGAATGTGTTCTAAAAAATCCAATCCGGTTGGATTCAGAATTGTACATTCTTGTCTGCACCCTTGGGTGTAAAGTAAATGTTCACAGGTATTCTGTACTTGAAATCAGTGCTAAAGATATTTTATGTAGAATTTAGGTGACATGAAAGTGTAAATAAAGAAGGTGCCACTAGTACACTTTGAAGCTCTTGCTATCTAGCTACTGAGATTTTGCAACCTTGATGAAAGTGACGCCTACCTTATGTTGTTATATTACATTATGCCATGTGAGAGATGGGTATCTTTAGTATTAACATGTAAGTAAAAGCAAGCTTCTAAAATGTTATGCAATAGCTGATTTTGTGGTAGCTTTAAGGTAGTTTTGCACAACATTGGAGTGCCTTTTGTTAGTCTGCTAATAACTGGTAGTTATACGTAGTATGTCTTCATCTATCCTACATTCTCCTACCCTCTGCTTTCAGAACATTTTCCTATCTTGACCAATATAGAGATCAGTGCACACACCATGCAGTAAATTATGCATCTACCGGTAGAACTACATGCTGCAATAATATATTTTTACACATTACCATTAGATACCATATGGTCCTCTATAAAACAGTGCACGTTTTCACAGAAATTTATCAGTGACTTTGTGCAGCGGTGCTAAACTTTTTTTAACCACTCTAGTTAAATTCGCAAGCTCGTCTTTTCAAAGAATGTGTTTGTTACCATGCATACTATGGCCACACAAAAGTATCCTGTTTTTCACACTGTGTACTATTCCTAGTTTTAGACCTGCGTTCTCTAAAATAAGCAAAGGTGGCAAATAGCTGCGTTAGTTTAGCATGTGTTACAAGTCCATCACATTTTAGAGATGTGTAAACCAGCTTTTGATGCACAGAATGGTGCCAGATCTTAATTTCTCTAATTTGTTATTGACCATTAAGTATGACCATCGAAACCCGTTTTGTCTTTAGCCTTTGGCACAGTTTATGTACAGCGCAGTGATATTTGATATTAATATGAGATTAGTACAGCTATGCATAGTCCCTTGTAGTCTAGAATTTCAAGTGTGAAATCATGTCCACAACAATACTTTTTTTGCTCTGCTTTTAAAATCCTATTTGCCACCAAAACTACTTTTAAATGCACGTGTTGTTGAGATGTGTACTGGCTTAGAGGGCGGTATTTCCCCTATAATTTGTTTTTCTTTAGCTATTAAAAGCTTCCTACCCTGGTCACGTGTTTGGCAGGTAAATATTTATTTTCCTTTTTTCTTCTGCATGGTCGCAAGGTGACGGATCCTGCTGCTGCTGCACGTGCTTAACTGCTTGGCAGATCTGGTTCTGGGGGCTGCTGTTCTCTGCTGGGAGACACCCTGTCTGCTTTTTGTGTCTGCTATATAGGCGATTGATGTTTACTCCACCGTAGACAAAGGCAGTGTTTGTGTGTGTGTCTGTGGCAGTATACTATAAATATAAGCAACTATTTTGTTTAACTATGTAGGTTAGGATTTGTCTTCTTTTTCATGGTTAATATAAATTAAAACTAAACTCGTAGCTCCTTTGATTACACATTCACTGTGTCTGATCTGATTAGATGGTGCAAGGTCCGCCCCCTCCCCCCCTCTCTGTAGTTTGCTGTAAAGTCTGTGCATAATGGAAGCAGCAGGTAATTGCATTATTTAGGAGTTACATTACTGTGTCTGTGCAGTTAGGAAGCTGTATGGCATTTGCACATTTAGTAAAGAGCTGGCTTTATTGAATTAACTCTGAGTACTCTTTAAAGGCACACACATGACTTCCCCTCCCCTGTAATGTGATTACATGACAGATTATGGGAACTGCTTGTTGCAATGATGAGAGGAGTGTAATTTTCAAGCAGTGCAGACTTGCACCATTTGAGTTAAATGAACACTATTGTCACTAGAACAACTACAGCTTAATGTAGTTATTCTGGTGAGTGTAATCAGTTCCTGCAGGCTTTCTGTTGAAATCACTGTATTTTCAGAGAAATTGCAGTCTAGGAACTGCTCTAGTGGCCACTCCTCAGAATGACGTTCAACGTCTCCAAGCTCTGTATGGAGACACTGAACATTCACCATAGAGATCCATTGATTCAGTGGATATCTATGAGGAGATGCTGATTTCCTATGGGAAAGCAGTGTGATTGGGTGAGATAATCACTTCTGATGTCAGCCAAGGAGATTGGATTGGCGGCAGACCCATGTGGCGCTGGAAATAAGGTAAATTTTGTTATATTGAGGTCAAAAATACATGTTTGTTTTCCGGACCCTATAGTGTTCCTTTTAATGTTTCTGTAATAGTGTCAGAGAGTACATCATAAAGCAAGATGTTCTTTGCCCTTTATTTTACAAATAATTAATACAGGTGGTGGTACCAACATCCCTTTAAACAAAGTCCTGATTTCTTTGGAAAAACATTTTTCTATTTCAGTCTCTGAATATTGTATTGGGGGTTAGTATAGGGATTTTGGGTTAGGAGTGATTTTTGGTGGGATCTGTCTTTAAGGTGGTAGGAACATAACTTCCAGAATTGATATTTACTTCTGTGGGTGTATGTTTGTTACATGCATGCTTGAGATACCACACTCAATCTGTTCCTTACAAGGGCAAAGTCCTTGGGTTGTACCTGGGGAACATTTTGTATCTTGAATGCCCTGCTAATCTGTGTCAATAATTTTATCACAAGAGATGTGACCTTTTATTGTGTTTGATAACATAGTTCAATCAATTTCCCTGAAGAAAGTTGTGTATTTCACTCTGTATAAACAAATCTTATGCTGTATAAGGGAATATATTGTGCAATTACCTACGATGACAATACTTTGCGTACCAGGTGAAAGGATAAAATACATTAGACATGTCACATGAGGTAACATTCTCCCTACATCCTGTGCAGGGTACATTAACTCATTGAGAGCAAGTGTCACGCCATTAGTTTAATACTACTATGGACAAGGAAGAACATTTACAGATACATCCATTGTGGGGTTCTTTGCCTTCTTTCTTAACAGCTCTAACATAATTTGTGGCTCTTTTTCAAAATATTATTCCAAAGTATGTTTTAGGCATTATAGATCACAAGTTACAATTAAAGATAAATTATTTTTTTGTGTTTTTCTTTTTTCAAAAAAGACAAATCTTATCTTTTGTAATAGGCGAGTAATTTAACATTTTTTGCTAGAGGGGCCACGCGTTTAAGTTAGGTTTATTTGCTAACCCATTTTACTGTACTACATAAAGGGGGGTGGAAAAAGTTCAAAAGTTGAGATTGAAAGTCTAAAGTGTTCTTAAGAATAAAGTAATTTAAAACTGGATTAAACCACTAAAACCATACATTTACACTTTAATCTTACATTTATTTTCAGTTACAACTGACTGCCTTTATAATAACACTGCTATTAAACGGTACATGTAACTGTAATTCCCATTTAAAATGCTTGAAGGCATGGCTAGTCTTGTACTGAACACTTTGGTACTGTCTTAGTGTTATGTTCGCTTTAATTTCACTGGAAATACCTGCCTTCATCTGATGCCAGTGGAAGGCAACTGCAGCTGTGTTTATACAGTAAACAGTCACAATGAAAAATATTTCTGTCTTATTTAAGAAATGGTTTTGTTTCAATTAGTCTATTTATAAGTTTACTGGGAGATCTTTGAGTCAGGTGCTGTTGTAATGTGACAGTCGGTTTTTAAAGAAGTATTACACTAAACAATATTACTTTCACTAAAGTCTGCATTAACATGAAGTAATTTTATTTAATTTTGTCTAGTGTTGTCAAGCTTGTTGTGGTTGTATATATATCAGTGCTTCTCTGATACAGAAATGACAATTGATAGTTACGTGTATCTCATTAGGTCTCTGAAGCGTTTTGGACTCCTCAGTCATTAGTAGTTTTATTATACAGAAAACTAGGTCATTTGTTTGGGACATGAAATGTATTTGTCATTGATTATATAAAAAAAAAAGAAAAAATTACATCAACTATTGGTCTAAATTTTTTTTTTTTTTCTTTTTCTTGTGATTACATTGTCACAAAAATATCTTGTTCAGCAGCATTGGGAGTAGCAAGTACAAGCTGAAAAAAATTGACGCATCTTAGGACAAAGTTAAAACGTCTCTGCTATGTCTAAGTAACGTATGGCTTATAATATTAGCTGTAAGCCACTTTTACACCTTCGTGGGTGCAGAATACCTCTGCACCACGGTCTTGGCAATGTAATATTTATGGTGGATATTTATCAATCGCGGGAAAAAGTGGAAGTTTTCTGTATATTAAATACAGCCTGGGTCACAGAAATTTCCACTTCTGAAGAAAGCCAAATTTAGAGTGGCGGGGAAAAACCTCAAATAAAACACTTCTCTGTCAGAAAAAGTGGCGTATAATTCAGAAAATCCACTGCATACCTAAAAATGTTTCAGATTTAAAGACAGGTCGCCAAAAAAAGTAACAGATCCAAATCTGATAGATATATTACATTGTGCAAAAAATTTGTAGAAAAATAGATGAAAAAGAGTTGACACTTTTTTTCCCCCCAAAACTATGCTTTATAGTGCTTAGACTAACCATTGAAATGTAAAAATGCTGTGCAACCATTTAAGGGGGAAACATAATTTTACTTTCCCTGCGCAGTTAACTGACCATGGGGTGATCTATGTAACAAGCGTTATTTTCTTCTTCTTTCTCTTCAAACACTAGGCATCTGATACCACAAATAAATGACCGGGTTTTGATTTTCCTAATGGTTTTTATCTGAGGCAATCCCATACTTTTGGTGAATGTAAAGAGTTGTCCTTTTAATGAGCTTAGTTATTCACTGTTTGGCATCCAGTCAAATGTCCTCCTTCCTCATTGTGTCCAAAGAAAGCATTATAAGGCTGTGTTAGTAATCAGTGATCCACAATGTTTTTTTGTTTTTTTTCAGTTTTACTAATTTGGGCAAAATTAATGCTAAGAATGGGCATAGATAGCGTATCTCAGTTCTGGTGCCTTCCTCAATATCTGACGCTGGAGTACAGCGCTAAATGACTGTTAAGTATGTGAGCTGTTATTAAAGCTTATTAAAACATATGGCATTTGATCTAAAGAACAGTTGGTTGATCATGTGTTATTGATCTCAACCTGTACAGCATGCTGTTTTGCTTCATAGTGTTTGTATTTCTGTGTTTTGCAATCCTTTTACGGTCTCTGTTCCCAGGCCAGGACCTCTTCTTGCAAGCCAGCTAAAGAGTGCAGTCCCAGCATGATTGACCGCTGAGAATGGTATATCAGTTTCCCATGCCTAGGCCAATGTATAAGAGTATTTCTTACTTAATTAAACCAAAGGAATGCAGTGCAATTCCCAGACTTCTGTGTTTTATTGTTAAAGTAACAGTACTATCATTTTCTGTCTGCTGACAGCAAGCTGTTTATGTTCATTTTTTTGCACGTTTAGTTTTGTTATGAGCCATTGATGCTGTTGGTTTTTATAACTGATTACGAATATGTTGAGACATGTAAAAAAATCAATGTATATGCTTTGTATGTCAAGCACAGGAAAAATACACAAGATAACGTAGTGTACCGACTTTCTTATGTTTTAAAGAGAAATAGATCAGAAATGAAGAAAAAAAAAAAAAACCCCAAAGGTTATGAAAGAGGAAGAGAAGAGGACACAGTACGCAAAAGACACGTTTGAGGTGACAGTGTTACTTTAAGCCTTGGATTCTTTTTCACTCTAATTCAAGGTAGTTGCCTATCAAATTCTTATACACAGGTGTTTATATTTGCAGCAATTAACCTATTCCATCAGTACTAGATATCCGATGTGTGGGTGTATGCTCAATGCTTTTCAAATTTCTACCTCCACATACTGGCTCAAAGAAAGAGCAGGAGCCATGGGTAATTACATGTTCAATAATGAATTTTGGTTATCCCATTGTGCAGTTTAGTTTACAAAACTGAGCCGTGTAGTTGCTGTCCGCTTAGGCATCATTGTAAATGTAACCGCTTAAAAGGTGTGGGGTGTTTTTTTTTTTTTATTTATTTATTTTTTTTTTAAATATATTTCTTCAACCTGGGGGACAATTTTGGAAACCTCCATTGTTGATTCTGAAGCTTTCCATGCATTGAATCCAATGTTTTGGGGTGACTGATTAAATGTATAGCATTTACAACATTAAGTAGTCACTCGTAAAATATTTAATATGTAGGTTACATCACTTGCCATTAATCGTGTCTTTACAAATTGCTCTTTACAATGTAAACACACAAATTGTAGTAAACTTTATATAATCCTTTCCTTTATTTTACATGCTGTAGAGCTTGGGAGAATTATTGATGTACATTTTTTCTGATCATGCTTGACATATTTAGGTCACTTCCTCCGAAGATGTCTTTAGAGATTTATCCTTAAGTAGCTGGGAGATGTTCTCTTTTTGTACAGTACCCAGTGTTTTGCGCTCAATGAGATTTATCTTTATGGCATTAGCAATCACAATTTTGACACGCTTCAAAGAGTTGTTTTTATCAAATGTGCTGTGTATAGAACGACCATCATCAAATCCATACAGTTCAAGAATCTCCATGTAAAGATTCTGAATCGTCATTTTGTTCCCACTCCAGAGTAAGCACTTGGCCAAACTGAGTCGAAAATTGCACTTTAAAAGAAAACCAAATAGTTGGCTTGGATTTTAAAGGAGTTTGTGCTGACACTGGGCTGTTCTGCTTTTATAATATGTATAGTAAGAAAGTACTGTTTTTCACATTTATCACTTAATTCACACGTCCAATGTGATTACGTCCACTCTTTAGTCCATCACGACCTTCGGGGTGTCATTTTTTTGCTGTAATACTGTTTTGCTTGGTCTGATCACTGATTTTTGAGAGTTGCATTTCTGCTGGGAAAACCAAAGCCAACCTCATCCTGGAGAGTCCCTTTTATTACGTTTTAACTTATTGATTTAGCAAAGAGCTTTACCTACCACTTCTGTTAGAGCTAGTAATAAATAGAAGCCTCTGTTTGCTGTACTACTCATACTGGAAAGGAAATGGACCGTATTGGACCTCCTGTCTGCATCTACATAGCTGTGATAAATGCAAGTTATCAGGAGAGAAAACTTTAGAATTAAGACGAAGGAGATTAAAAAAAAAAAAAAAAGTAAATAAAAATCTGACCAGTATTATAGGTGGCGGTTAGTGAATGATACATGTTGTATGGCAATTTTAATATTTTTTTTTTTTTTCCTTCTAAGGGATTCTTAGTGAATACTCCAAATTAGAGATGTGCACTTACTTTGACATGTCTCTAACTTGCATCACAGTGACACTATCTCTGTCAATAAGTTGAAAGGCGGAACTCACAGGGACATCCGAGCACATTGTTGCGCTAATTGTAGCAATTGTATGCTTTAGCGCTCAGTTAGCACCAATACAACTCAATACATTTGATAGATTTTGTCCTCATTAATATTCTATTTTTTGCATGCTCAAATTTAAAGTATAAAAATAAAGTCAGATAAATTAAGAGGGTATGTACTGAGGTGAGAATTTGGTGTCTTTTATTTCAGTCCCTTTTCACTTCCATTTTTTGTCTTAAACAAAAAATGTGAGTTCACAGCTCTTTACATTAGGTTGAACACTTTATGATCTACGAATTGAATTAACTTGTTTTTTTCCTCCTCTGTGTTTCTAGCACGTGTTTCAGACATGACCGTTTTATCAGGGCTACAGAACGCTGACAGCCAGCTGCAGATTTTCATCCCACATGCAGCTTTCTAATTAGTGCGATGTCTCTGACGCCAGAGAAAATCCCTCACTGCCACGGCACACTTGTCAGGCAGACCGCAGTGATACCTATTGCTGTAGATATGATGAAAATATTTAATCTCTTAGTAATTAATCTGCTTGGAGAATCACTTAAGGTTGGCCCTTGGAACTACAGCTACACACCTTGAGACAAAATCAGCTGCTTCCATAGACAAAGCAAATTTTGAATTGATCCCCAGTCACTAATAACCAAAATATTTGTTTCAAATATTTGAGTTTTTCAATATATATCACTACTGAAATTGTTGTAGTATATACTACAGTAATGCTGTACATTCATTAAAGCACATTTTGAATAGGTTTAAAATAAATAAGCCATACATTTTGAGCCACACCGTAGGGGCAGTACTGCGTCAAAATCTAGTGAGTCTGCCCCACCAGTCCCTTTTTTTTAAAATTTATTTTGGTATTCTTAGAAGAGCAAGATAAATTTGTTATTAAACACAAATTTTATGTAGCACCTTTTGCCTATGTGAGAGAGCTTCTGCTCTTGTTGGATGACTGGCAGTGGGTCAATAACCTTTTTATTGATTGGCTTGACTTCTTGTCTTGACAAAATACACTGATCAGTCACAACATTAAAGGACCACAATAGTGCTAGGAAAATAAATTTGTTTTCCTCGCACTATAGTGCCCTGAGGGTGCCCCCACCCTCATGGCCCATCTCCTGCTGGGCTGAAGGGGGTTAAACACTCACCTTTCTCCAGCGCCGGGCTCCCTCAGCGCTGGGGACTCTCCTCCTCCTTCCGACGTCATCAGCTGAATGCGTGTGCATTCAGCCAGTCCATAGTCCTATGGACGCTGGCGTCTTCTCACTGAAAATCAGTGAGAAGCGCGGAAGCGCCTCTAGCGGCCTCTCAATGAGACAGTCACTAGAGGCTGGATTAACCCATATGTAAACATAGCAGTTATCCTGAAACTGCTATGTTTACAGCAGGCAGGGTTAACTCTAGATGGACCTGGCACCCAGACCACTTCATTGAGCTGAAGTGGTCTGGTTGCCTATAGTGGTCCTTTAAAACCACCTGCCTAATATTCTGTAGGTGCAACTCTGATGCATGAAGGCATGGACTCCAAAAGACCTCTGAAAGTGTCCTGAGATAACAAGCACCATTAGCAGCAGTTCCATTCAGTTCTATAAGTTGCGAAGTAGGGCTTTTTACGATCGTATTTGTTGTTCCAGCACAACCCACAAATGTTCAGTTGGATTTAGATCTGGGGATTTTGAGGGCAAGACAGCAGTTTGAACTGTCATGTTCCTCAAACCATTCCTAAACTATTCTTGCAGTGTGGCTGAGTGCATTATCATGCTGAAAGAGACCACTGACCACAGGGAACGCCATTGCCATGAAGGCATTACGTGGTCTGCACCGATCTCTAGGTAAGCGGTGCATATCAAAGGAACATCCAAATGAATGCCAGGAACCAGGGTTTCTCAGCAGAACATTGCCCACAGCATAACATTGCCTCTGCCATGCCTTCCTGTCTTAGTGCATCCTGCTGCTATCTATTAACCAGGTAAACGATGCACCTTGCCATCCACCTGATCTAAAGGAAAACTTGATTCATCATACCAGATAACCTTTTTCCTTTGTTCCATGGTACAATTCTGATGCTGACTTCCCCCATTGAAGGCACTTTCCGCAGTGGAGAGGGGTCATCATGGCCACTCTGACCGGTCTTTGACTACACAGCACCATAAGCGGTAAACTGTGATACCCTGTGTGTTCTTACACCTTTCTATTATAGCCAGCATTAAGTTTTTCAGCTATTTGAGTTACAGTAGCTCTTCTGTGTGACCGGACCATGTGAGTTACCCTTTGCTCCCCATGTACATCAATGGGCACCCATGGCCCTGATGTCGTTCACCTGTTGTCCTTTCTGTATACCAGGAACACCCCACAACACTTGCCATTTTGGAGATGCTCTGACCCAGTTGTCTAGCCATAACTTTTTGTCCCTTGTCAAAGTCACTCAGATCTTTTCTCTTGCCTATTTTTCCTGCTTCCATCAAATGAAATTCAAAAACTGACACTGCACTTGCTGCCTAATACATCCCACGCTTGACAGATCTTATTGTAACAATATAATTAATGTTATTCACTTCACCTGTCAGTTTTAATATTTTGGTTTCCATCGCTTTTGAATTTTTTTTTTTTGTAGATAAAAAATAAGCTTATTGCAGAGTGCATGATGTGGTGCATTGTGTTTACCTTTTTTAGATTTTTTTTTTTGTTTGTTTGTCCTTTTTGGTGTAGGAGGAGTTAATCTTGCTGATCTTGCACCCATCATAAAGGTGCAGCTCTGGCATGTTATCTCACAAGTCTTTGAACTTTGGGTTTGGAATGTGCTTCAATAAGGAAAGTGCCAGGGAACAAGTGTCTGTATTTGGTGCTTCTGGGCCTGTGGGGGCTTGAAACGCAGCAGAGGAATGCTATTGTGTCTTCAAAGCTTATTTAACACAGGCCTTTGTTGGGCAGGATCTATGGGGCAGAGGCTGGCTATTATCAGGAACACACAAAGCCCCTCCAGCCTTACCATTCTGATCTAATTGGGTGGTGATGTCTATTCTTACTTAGGTTTCATACACTATATTCAGTGTAACCTTTCATTGCAATCTGATTTAATGAGTCATCTTCTATGATTTTGTCTTTTGTAGAACGCATGCTAATACTTGGCTAACCAAAGAAATGGTCTCATCCGTCTTGCATTCTTACAGTTTAAACGTCATATATTATATATTGCTGTGGTTTATATTTAGGAATTGTATATGTTGAGGCTGTAGTAAAATGATCATAAATGAATATTAATGTATTTTAAAATTGCATTTCTCTTTGAAATAAGCAGGCAGCACTGCAGAGAGCTACATGTACTTACTGTAAGCCTAAGATAGTGAGTCATTGCATTGCTAACTGCAGCAGTGGCTTAGAGCCAATACACCTTAACATTCCAGCCTCTATTGTCTTTCTGTGATGGTATTCTGGATAACAGTAACTACTCTATACCTCTGCCTCCCAGCTATCCTACAGTATGTTTTCAAGAGACAACAGTCTGTCCTTTAGCTGTCACTTTAAGGACCTCTATGTAAAAGAATGATACTTAGTTTATTTGTTGCTGAGATTACTTTCTGTCGAGTGGTAATAAAATTTTGATGTCCCTATTGTTAGCAGTTATAAATAATTTTGTGTTGTAACCTGTTTATTCCTGGACAGGTATATGTTTGTTTTTTGTTGTTCCCTCTCTCCCTCCCTCCCCCTCCCCACTTTTCTCTACTGGGGTACCAGCACTAAAAGCATAATTGGCATCAAAATGGTTAAAGTTTTCTGGCACCGATTCTGATCTTGTTTAAACAACCTCACTTTTCCTTTTCAAATCTCATTCAGTGTGAAAATGTGAAAGATTCGGTGCTCCCCACCCTTTCTAAACAGCCTGACCTTGAATGCTTTCCACATTTTCTGTGACATCTTTTGTGTCCTCAATTTATCTTGACTCCTCCAAACCTTGGCTGAAAACATTCTGGTTCCTGGCCAGGGTAGACATGGAGGATGCAATTAGTTCAGGGATGTTCTAATGAAATTAGGGGAGCTTCTACCAGATTAAGTCTTTAAAAGCCAGGGAGGGGGAGTTCTCAAACAGTTCTGCTTCCTCGAGGTTAAGATATAAACCAAGAGAGCTTCTTTGTTCCTGTAATTGACAGGTATAGGTAATTAAGATTGGCATCTGCTACTTTAAAAAAAAAAAAGTATATATATATATATATACATCTTTAATTAATTTACTCCACGTATGTAAAATATGGAGCAATAGTGTTTCAAGTATCTACTGTAGTCAAACCCATAGTCTCTCCACCTATACACATCGCATACACAGGCTTACACCTCGTGGATACACATCCTTTGCAGTTACACAAACTGGCACTATGCCTCATCCATGATTCAGATACGGTTGTAAAACAGTCATATGTATTTGCAAGAATATATGGATATATATATATTTATTTATATTACAATCACTGTAGGCTCATAATTGACGTATTGTACCAGAGTCATTCAGCAATGGCTATCTTGAGTTATGCGGCAGCTTGGCAGTCAAGTTCTTATAGATTCTTCAATATGGAAGCTTATTTGCGTTTCGGGGTGCTTGGGGGGATTACCAAGCTTTTATCTGTTTATTATAGTTTTGAATCATGTAGTCACGATTGAATGTTAATGTTGCAGACATTCGTCAGCAGTTGCATGTTCGAAGATGTGTACTTCATCACTACTTACCCAGAGTCCCGAGATAAAATACTTAGTGCTGCCTTCTACAATGATTTGTTGTCATGTTTTGTGGGCAGTATTTTTCTATGAAACTAATGCAGTTATTCAGAAACCTTTCTGTTCATGAAGACATGTAATGTTTTGGCTGTGCTCTGGACTGTATTATTTGAAAATAAATGTATGTGTTATAGGCACTGCTTATTTTGAAGCTTCACACTAACTAACTTGCTTAACAGTGACCACAGAACCCCCCTCCCCCCCCCCACGCACACACATTCTTATGTATTTTGTTGATGATGCTGTTTATGAGTGGAATTGGGTATTGAGATCTGCATTGATCTCATAACTGTGTTCGTGATTATCAGATTAGGCTTGTCCCTGAAGTGATCAGACATTCTTTTCTGTCCTCTTAAGTGATCCGTGAGGTATGGGTGGGCCACACGTGAACAAAGTTCTTGCAACACCTTTCTGAAGAGTCTTGTTTGAAACCCATAAAGGCTCTACTTTTTTTTTGTCTTGTGATGGGGAGGTCTGGATGTAATGTTTCTTATTTTCTCAAAGCAGTTTATATTTTCACTGTAATCTATTGATCTCTAAATCCATGTTTCAGTAACAAAAGCAGCAATGATGTCATTTGTTAGTCTAATAATGCAGCAGGGAAAACCCTTTTGCCTCCGTCGTGATTTATATATATATATCTCTATGTCCCACTGCCTAGTAACTTGTGATCGAAATGGAAGATAATTTAGTACAGTTAAACTGTACTGGAATTTAGACTGTAAACATCATTCTGGAGTGCACATGTTTGGCTCTGTGCACAGCCACGATGGCTGTGAGCTGGAACCCCAAGAGGGCTTTACTTTCAAAATGTGTCCTTAAACGTGAGGTCACGCAGCTGATGGAAGCTCTGTGCGATCGGAAAACGATACGCAGTGAAAGAAGGGAGCAGAAAAGAATTTAATGGCCTTGGGCCACAGCTCACAGCTATCCGATAGCTCCCTCCGCCCCCACAAAGCTGGTGGTTTTAGCATAAACCGAATCGTCTGCAGAAAGATCCTCTGCCTGCAGAGGAAAATATCTTTGTGAAGAGGGGATCCCATTGAGACTATTTTAAAGAAGTTGCTCCCTAGAAGCATTGCTGTTTTGGAATGAAACTTGTGTGATCGCTATTATTGTAAACAAATTGCTGATTAACTCCTCGTCTAACTGCACACGTTTCCGAAGATTATAATTTGTGTGTATGTGGAATGAACAAATAAAACACATTTGCTATGCACACACTAGTCCAATGGTGGTTAACTATATTTGTCATTTGAAGCACCATGGGAAATGTAGTTTGGGTAGCCATAGGTGAGTAAAAGTAACATTGTGGAGGCTATTTATACCTCATATCTACATATTAGGGATCGACCGATATTGATATTTTTTTTTTTAGAGCCAATACCGATAATGTGTGAATTTTCAGGCCGATCGCCGATAACTTACAGATATCAATATTCTGTACATTTACCATTTTGAAAAAATAAACAATTTCTACACAAATCTACTGTTGACTGAACATGTTTATTTTTTAAATTTTTTGGGGGGGGGTAAATGCACAAAATAATATACATGCCAGTCAGATTTTTGTTTTTGTTTTCAAGAATAAATGTGTGTAGTGGATGCAGTGGGAGTATTTGATCAATGCAGTGTGTGTGTGTATAGTGAATGCAGAGTGGTTGTGCTGTGTGTGTGTGTGGTGGATGCAGTGTGTGTTTGTGTAGTTTATTTATTTTTTAAATAATTAACATTGTTTTGGTCCCCCCTCCCTGTATCTTACCTGGCCAGGGAGGGGGTTATGGCATTCCCTGGTGGTCCGGTGACATGGACTCTGCAGAGGGGGCCCAGCAACACTCTTACTTCCCTTCCCAGCAGCTCCCCTGTCTAACTCTCACGGCCTGTGTGGGAAGGGAAGTAAGAGAGTGCTGCGGGCCCCCCAGGACCGCCAGGCCCATGACAACCATCTCGGTTGTCATGCCCTGATGGCGGCCCTGGTCTGCATTACCGGCAATACCAGTATCTTGATAGGCAGATACCGATATTGCTGAAAATTCATAATATTGGCCAGACCGATAATCGACTGATCCCTACTAAATATACAAACTGTTGAAGTAAGCTTTAGAGAAAGGTGCTGAAAACTGCATGAATTTGTATTTCTTTATGTATATAGGTGATATGTATGTTAGCATTTTAACTTTTTTTTTTTTTTTTAGTGTTTTTCTTTTTTACCATTGTGCTGCGATTTTCCACAATTAGCATAATGAAATGTGCAGTTATATCTGTCTACGAATCAGTAGGAAGAAGATGGTTTTATAACCATATATAATGGGATTTCAGTATGTTAGCTTGCATGCATTTTCCTCCGCATCTGTAAATGTTTCCACTTTGCAATTTGACTAGCAGTGGTTTTTGTTGGAATTTCAGTGACTTCTAAAGTTTAAGATAGCTGCATAAAATACACACCTATTTATCTTTTCCAGATTTAAATAGTCATTGTTGATGGAGACCCAAAGCTGCAGGTATCTGATTGTAACCTTTCTGTAGGTAGATGGAGTTAGTATTAAAGGATCACTATAGTGTCAGGAAAACAAAGCGGAGTCTCGTGGCGCTGAAGGGGTTAAAACCCATTTAGCAGCTTACCTTTATCCAGCGCAGGGCTCCTTCGGCACGGTTGAGCTCTCCTCCCCCGCTGACGTCAGCTCCTGAGTGGAGCGGAATGCGCATGCACGGCAATTTCTCAATGCTTTCCATTGGACGATCTGCACGCTGGATGCAAACTTCGCATCCAGCGTCGCAGATGCGCCTCTAGCGGCTGTCAGGAAGACAGCCACTAGAGGTTGGATTAACTCTGCTATGTAAAAATAGCAGTTTCTCTGAAACTGCTATGTTTACATGTGAAGGGTTAAAACCTGAGGGACCTGGCATCCAGACAACTTCATGGAGCTAAAGTGGTCTGGGTGACTATCGTGTCTCTTTAACATTAAATTCATCCTTCTTCCTGAAATTGCAGCTGTTTTAAGGTATAATCAGGGCTTAAAATTTGAAGTCCTATGCTGCTAGCCAGGCCTTAAATTAGTTACCACTACAAGCATATACGCCAGGTTAAATTTTATACTTGCCAGGGCTAAATGTTTACTCGCTCGTGGAAATTTAGAACCTGGTATAATGATTAGAACTTGCTCATCCAAGAAAACTGGTAAAGCAATGTTACAAAAAATAGTGACATAAGTAATGCATGAAATATCAACCATAAAAATCCCTGGGACACAAGTCCAAAAATATCCGTATACAACCCATTCTTAAAGGAACATTATAATGTTAGGAATATAAACATGTATTCCGAAGACCATAGCTTATGTCCTTGGCTCCACCAGAATGGAGTTAAATGGTGTGTTTTTGTTTAATTTTTTTTTTTACTTCCCTTTTCTTTGATAGCTCCGCCTCCATGGCTGAGATCCTCAATCTTGACGCTCTTAGCCAATCCAATGCTTTCAAATAGGAAAGCATTGGGAGGCTATTGCACATGCGCACAAAAATGCCATGTTGCACCAATCATCTCCTCATAGAGATGCATTTAATCAATGCTTCTCTATAGGGAGCTTTCAGCATCTCCATCCTGAGTGTGGAGATGCTAAACACCAGTGCTGCTCACAGTGCAGCACTGCAATAGGAAGCACTTCTAGTGGCCGTCTGTGTGACTGTACCTAGAGGTTTTACCTGGCAGCAATGTAAAAGAGTTTTCATTGCTCAGCCTGCAGGGACATATTATAGACACCAGAGCCACTACATTAAGCTGTAGTGCTTCTGGGGACTATAGTGTCTTAAAGCTTGCTTAAATAGGAAAAGTATATTTATAAAGGATTTTTTCTTGTCACAAAAATGTGCCACAAAAAAATTGTTTAACAGTGTTGAGATGTATAATACAGATTTTTAAACAATTTTTATTAATTTTTATAAACTTTAGCTATGCAGTTGCTTGTAGGTTGTTCACCACGGGTATGTGACGCGTGGCATATACCATGCTGTTGTGCGGTTTTGCTTGTAATGTTTTTGGCACGGTCTCATGGTCTATTCTTCCCAGGGAAAAAAAGCTTTCAAAGCACTGCATACTTCTAAAGACTGTAAAACCACAAGATGATATAAAAGGAAAGCACTGAGAAAATGCAGAATTTACAATGAAAAGAAACTAAAAATAGGACGAACTGGAGCAAAATAAAATTGTTGGGAACTCAATGTAACAGACCCCAGCATTTGGATGAAACTATTCACTTTAGTTTATGTACTAAAAAGCGCTCTTGTTAAGGTTTTTCCCTAGATTTTTTAGCACAATGGTTAATGGGGTGGACCTAGACTGCTAGATTCACAGTGCTGTTTATTTCACCATACTGTAGGTTGGTACATACAAAGTGCTGCCCTTCAGTATGTAGAAATCAAATTCCGCAAATTCATTGCTTGGTTAATTAATGAAATTCTGCATATACTATAAGGAAGCAAAACCATGTCTTCAGGAAAATATTGTAGATCTGGCATCCTAAAATGTTCCCAGTGCACACCATTCTACAGGCTTTATGTTCAGATTCAAACCACATATACATCCCATGAACTATACAGAGTATGTGTTACATTGGTTATCAAACTGACTTTGTATTTTCCTGGCAGGATGTTTTTGTTTGTATTTTCTGTATGCCCTGGGAAAAGTAGGTGTCATTGCCCAAATCAGTGATACTTATTTCATTGACATGTTCTTGTACCTCCATGTCCCTCTTGTCTACATCTAGATTTGTGTGAACGTTGAATGTCTACAGGTGTAATGAATATAAACTAGTATAACCTATAATATCTTGAATTGTTCCAATCGGTTTCATACTATAGCTGTTTCTAATTATTTGATGTGTGTGTGTGTGTGTGTGTATGTGTATATATGTATGTATATATATATAGGTATATAATATATTTTTTATTTTTATTTATTTTTTTAGTTATTCTAAACTGTGTATTATTGCATAAATCTTTCAGAATCTAAAAATGTTACGAAACAATTACTTTGAGGTATGGGAAGCTGCTCTAAATCCCATAATCTGCTTTATCTCCATGAACTCCCAAAACTGGGTTGCAATCAGTTTTTTTGCCAAAGCATGACTGTTATTTGAAATGCTACAATGTATTTACGCATGAAGCAGTGTAGATAAGGACACTTTAAAAGCACAACCAAAGCTGTGCATTCAAATGTATCCAACAGCGTGTGAACTAAAAGCTTTCAAGTGACCACTCACATCTTTCCGACTCCTCAAATCTGACATTGTGCAGGGAGCTGACCTTGTATCATATACAGTGTCTTTACGTAATAAAATATTACATATAAAAGCGGTTTACTCAGTGGCGCCTTAATGGAAGACCGATTGATGTTTGTGTATGCATTTAATATACATGTGTTTTGGATTACTATTAACTCTCACATTTCTTAGTTCAATATGTATGATCCTATAACTGCATGCAATTTTGATACTATGGATACATAGGAATACTATGGTGCCAGGGATACAAAGCTGTATCCTGGCACTATGGCTCTCTCTGCCTCCACCCTCCATTGCGTTCTCACCCCCCTCCAAGGTGAATAAAGGGATAAACATTTACTTACCTGATCCCTCGGCGCTAGGTTGCGGCCCCACCTCCTCTGATGTTCCACGACGAGTATGCGCTAATGCACATGTGTGGTGAGCGCCGCGCGCATTAGGCCTCCCTATAGGAAGCATTGAATCAAAGCTTTCCTATGGGGAATTTGCTGATGCCAGGTGTCCTTATGCAGAGCGAGGATGTCTAGTGTCAGTTGCCAGACAAAAAGTCAGTTAACAACCATGAAGTGCCTCTGACAGCTAGACAGTCATTGGAGAAAGACTTGGTGCTGAAATGTAAACATTGCAGTTTCACTAGGAACTGAAATGTGTTACATTGTAGCACTGAGTGCAATTGGGACACTGTACCCAAACCAACTTCAATTAGGTGAAGTGGTCTGGATGCCTGTAGTGTCCCTTTAAGCGGCATTTAAATACAGATCACTAAAAGTATTGGATTTAACAGACTGAAGTAATGCAAGGCAAGGAAAGAACTGAGCAAATCTTGGGTAGGTGGAGTAGGAGCAGGTAAGGATCACACTTTCTTGTAGTATTATTTTGCACTGGAAACTGCAGCAAAGTGTTTGTATTTATAACAGCAAGATACATCCATGTCAGGTTACTGTGTGTGTGTATGTGTATATCTATCTATCTATATATATATATATATATATATATATATATATATATATATATATATCTATATATATATATATCCAATAGACCTATTAACTACTCCTATATATAAGAAACACGTCGTGTAGAAATCTGTTTTACTTTTTTATATATATATATATATATATATATATATATATATATATATATATATATATAATTCTGTGCTATTTATGGAATAACCTATCACTTAATCGTGGGTTTGACCAAGAGGTTATTCTTGATTTTGAGTGCTTGGGGGAGGGATGCTTTGGCTTTTAACCAAACAATAATTTGATAAAAGAATCATCATTGTTTAAGGCAATCTAAAGATTGAAATAGTCAACTCCTTTTCCATGCTTGACTACTGTGACTTAAGATGTTTGTTATAATTCCTTTTTAGCGAACAAAGTCCATTGTGTTACTGCTCTTAAAGTGTTACAATAAGCCCAATATTAAAGGGACACCGATAATCACCAAAACAACTTTAGCCTAATAAAGCATTTTGGTATATAGATAATGAATCTGCAGTCTCGCTACTCAATTCTCTGCCATTTAGGAGTTAAATCACATTTATGTAGCCCTAGTTACACCTCCCTGCATGTAACATGCACAGTCTTCCTAAACACTTACTGTAAAGTGAGGTCTAATGTTTATACTTCGTTTTATTGAAGTCTGTTTAATTTAGAATTTCTTACCTCCTGCATTAATAGGTTGCTAGACTTAGCAGGAGCCTCCTGTGTGTGATTACAGTTCAATTTACTGAGCAGGAGATAAAAACAACTCAAGTAAGTTAACTGAAACCGTGACTTTTGAAAATGTTTTGATGGAATAAAAAAATCATATTGTTTTATAAGCCTCACAGTGCTGGATATCGCAAACCATCTACATTAAGTGTTTATTTAAGTGGGGATAATAGGAGTTGGCGTGCAGGACACATACATGTCTGTATATATACGTGTTAAAAATGTGTGTGTGCCTGCGCGCACACACACTGAAAAAATTGGGACACTAGGCACAGGGCTTTTGAAAAAATGTGCTCCATGAAATGATATTGAGGTTACATCAAAAGAAATCGATATTTCAGCCCCACCTGGGCCTGTATCTTTGCTGTTTACTTGTCCGTCTGTCTGTCTGTGTGTGTATATATGTAAAAATATGATCTAAAATATGGTCTTCAGCAAACAGATGGAAATTTCCTTCTGTATGTGTCTGTCTCTAGTGTCTCTTTCAGTGCAGTGGTGCATATAGGAAATAAATATCTGCATAAAGAGCAGATTGTCTGGATTTAAATGCCAATTCAGCTTGTAAGTCTTGCTCCAGACTTGTGAAAATGAGGCAGGCATCCTTATAACATGTCTGCTGTTACACAGTCCAAAAGGAAAATACAGAGTTTAGAATTAACTGTGTATGACTCTTTACTCACCAAAACTACTTCATATTAATTGTGTGTTTTGGTGCATAGATCCTGTACATTTTCTCTGGCAGTGTAAAACATTGCTGTTTTAAAGAAACTGCAGTGTTTACACTTGCTAGAGGACACACCACTAGTGATGGTCAGACGGGCAGTTACTAGAAGTGCTATTGCATAAAGACCTTTGAAAAGTGAAGGATCTGAAGAATAGTATGGGGGATATTTACCAATATGCAATTGTCAACAATATCATTATACTTATTTAATAATTTTGACAGGGGGAAAATTAAGGTTCTGCTCAAACAAGCTTTCAATCTAGTTGATAATGTTCTTGTATATCTTGCCCTGCAGGAAATCATGTCTACAGAAAAGTAAAAATACTTTACTGAAACTAGAGTTTCTGGCACCTCGTGAATTCTTACCCCCGTACATTTGAAACCAGACACCCATCATCCACAACCTTGTTCACTCCTCTGAAATGCAGAGTTGTGATATTACCAAACCTCTTGTGAGTAGAAACGTTGGTAATTAATTGCAAATTTCTTTACACATGCAAGTGGGATTTGATGGGAGTTAACCAGAAAAATAAATCAATAAACTGATGTATTTTGTTAAAGTGCCCTACATTTTTAAATCACACTTTTAGCTATGAGAGGCTGCATCATTCATCCAGCGTGACTGCAGCTCTGTAGAGAAATGAGCGATTGAAGAATGTAATCTCCCTCAGTGAAGAGTGCTTAACACGTGCCTGCTTGACCATGTGATTCATCCATTCATGATCCGTTTAAGAATTAATGAGAACACCACAACGTCCGGAAATGGCTGATGTGTGGCAAAGCCTCAGAATATGATTCTGATACATCTGCTAATTGGTGTTAATGCATTGGTGCATATTTCCGCTGCCATGGCTTTTCAAGTATGATGGCTTAATGTGTTGCAAACCTAATATTGTATTATACCTTTTACTTTTTTTGATGATTGGTAAAGCCAAGCAAGATTTATTTTTTTAATCATCCATGCCCCATATTTTGCAGTATTTATTGTTCGAAAATATAGGCTGGTAGATATTTAAAGGGTCATTTGTTTGATATGAACAGAATTAAACCTGTAAATATTTCTTTTAATTTCACCATATGAGTACCGAAGGCTCCCTATTCCTGCTGTAGAAGATGATGTTATGGAAATTACCTGCATCTACTGGTATAACTAGGAGATGTTAATTGTTTTTTTATTTTTTTCCAATTCAGCCCTCCCTTCTTTCACCATCCCTATGAGTGGTTTAAAAATAAGGCAAACTGACCTGCATATGTTTGAGGCTGGTGTGGATGTCGTGTTCCATCAACTGGCAGAATTCCAAAAGCTGAGTTCTTTCGAAAAAGCCGTTAACAAACTAGGCAAATGATAGGCGTTCTCCACACGCGCGCACACACACAAACACCTCCAGCTTTACTTTGTACGTAACTTTATCCCAAGAGCCCTTCAACTCCTTTCAAAGTCAAAGCTGGAATGGAGCCCTCTTGTGATGTCCAAGTTCTAAACCAAGTTATAATGACTTCCTCCAGTGCTTATTTATGGATTTATCCTCTAGGGTAGGAATTGAGGTACTAATTCAAAACCGATTCCTATTTTCTTTGCTCCTTGAAGAAGAGCATGACATTGCATAGTACATGTTCAGTATTTTGTAAGTACGAACACCATTTTGTTAAACAAATCAAACTCCTGATGGGGGGGAGGGTTATTACAGGGAAGTGTAATGCATTATTTCTAGATAAGAATGAGGAAGGGTTTCTGAGGAAAGCCATTTTATGCCCCAGACCCTCCCTTGTGTTGTGCTACACTAGAATTGCTCTCATGCTGAAGTACATACCTGTAATTCCATTTCCACTGCTCAACGTGCTGTAAAGTACAAATGTAATTTTCAGAATTGTGTGCATTTTGCTGTGAATATGCAGATCTAAGGGATACTTCAAGCACTATGACCACTTAAGTGATTTGATGTAGCCCTGGAGTCTGTAAGTACAGTGCTTTTTAAACACTGTCAACAGAAGGGTTAATGTTTATATATGTCTATATGTGCTGTGTTACAATTCCACCTTGGGTGGCATCACTGGGTGGAATACCTTTCGGAATTGCATATTTACGCAAAGATCCCAGGCGGTGACAGAGCCACTTTAATTTTTTACATCTTTGGTGCTGTTGCTGCATTAAGGCCATCACCTCAGTGACCACAGACTGTACTTTGCTGAGGTCATCAAACATGATCTACTTAAAGTAACACCTGAGTTGAGGAGGAAGCCTTGGCTGTATGTTAATAAAGATTGTGATAAATTCTCTTTAGCCATCATCAGCAGAGAGAAAGAACTGTTCTTCTGTTCACAATCTATCATTTGGAAATTATACTGTTTTTATGTGGTGTTTGTCAATTGGGGAAACAAATCGAAACTGAATTTCAGTTCTTGCAGTGGCTTTTTTTCTCTCAAATAGTTCAAACAGACCTAAAGGTTAGTAATTTGCCATATTTACAAGCATTGCATTTGAAATTAACTTAAAGGACCACTCTAGGCACCCAGACCACTTCAGCTTAATGAAGTGGTCTGGGTGCCAGGTCCAGCTAGGGTTAACCCATTTTTTTTTTATAAACATAGCAGTTTCAGAGAAACTGCTATGTTTGTGAATGGGTTAAGCCTTCCCCTATTTCCTCTAGTGGCTGTCTCATTGATTTTCACAGTGAGAGCACGCCAGCGTCCATAGGAAAGCATTATGAATGCTTTCCTATGTGACCGGCTGAATGCACGCGCAGCTCTTGCCGCGCGTGCGCATTCAGCCGCATGGGAGGAGAAGAGGAGGATCGGAGGAGGAGAGCTCCCCGCCCAGCGCTGGAAAAAGGTAAGTTTTAACCCCTTTCCCCTTTCCAGAGCCGGGCGGGAGGGGACCCTGAGGGTGGGAGCACCCTCAGGGCACTATAGTGCCAGGAAAACGAGTATGTTTTCCTGGCACTATAGTGGTCCTTTAATATTCGATGTTGATACATCAAATGCTGATTACGTTTAAACATTGTTTTGCCAAACTTACAAAAAATTGTTGTACCTCACCTCCTGGACAAAGCATTGATACCGATGTTTTAGAAGCAGCTGCATCACCACCCCTATCTTTGTGAGTGGTGCTGGTTGAGGAGGCTAGACTGTTGGAGTCAGAGTGCTGACATCCCTAAGAGACAGAAGGCCTCTTAACTAGGCATACCCGACAGCTAGCAAGGTTAAAGGAGTGGAGTAGATTCACCCATGAGATGCTAGTGTGGGTACGCCTTCCCCATATCACTCTGCCCTGTTTCCCCCTCTCTTCTCTTCTTTCTCTCTCCTTTCATCCTCTAACACACAACACTTTTTTTTTTTTTTTTTAAACTCTCTCCTTACTCTTCTTTCCTTCTTCAGTTTTTTGGAGCAGAGTCTTAGACTCTAAACACCCTTTCTACCTATGAGATATTACGAGTTTTGATATCTTTGGGTAAATGTAGGCAGTGGTGGTAGGAATAGACAGAAGTATTTTTTATATATATATATATATATATATATATATATATATATATATATATATATATATATATGAGGAGCAGTGTTTATCTACCACGCTGATCAAGTTTCTCCACATTATATTGGGACAATACGTTTCCTCTTTCATGTCTTACAACTGTATCTCGATTTTTTTAATTTATTTTTTTCTTTGTATATTCTGGTTTGTTCTTACATCAATAAACCTTTTTATTGAACTAAACTTTTTGTCTTAAAAATGCAATGGCTGTACTGAGCATCTATGCTATTGTTCTGAGTGTGTAAAACAATATTCAAGGGTTGAGTACACCTTCCCTTGGTATATTTTCCATACAGTTTTTTGTATATTCTTTGCATCTGCTGCACGTGAGCTACATTGTTAGTTCTATTTTATATGGCTAGATTTAACTTTTTACAAATTGATGAATTAAATACAAGTAACGTCCTCTAATGACCCCATGTATACGGTTTGTAAATCCAGTATCATTTTCTAAACTTTCATTTGACATAGAACATTGCTTGACTCCTATCCATCCACGTTGCAGATCCAACATAAAACCTGTGTGCTAAGGATCCATAAAGGCATTAGCCACCATAAAATACTTCTCCGGTCATTTCTCTTTACAAATTGTGTTCAATGAAACACAACTGTTTTCTTTGTGTAGAATGCTTGTTAAAGAAGGCGAAATAAGACACAGTTGAAAATTGATGACACATATTGGTATTTAACATCTATCTTTCTAAATAACCATGCCGGCTCAACAAGCAAGAGCCGGATCTTCCCTGCTTAAGAAGTAAAACATGATTTATTCACGTGCAGAACAAGAGAATTTTTTTTGACCTTAAGAGTCTTGTGTCCTGAGGAACATGTGCTGGTTCAATGTCACTATGACCTGTTTTAAAATGCATTATCATTCTGCGTCTTTTGACAGGTTTAAGAAATTTGTGGATTCTTTTCACTTTTTATTGGGCTTGTTTTGCATGTATTAAAGTGTAACATAACATGGAACAGGAAGAACATAATATGTGTAACTTCGAGTTATACAAGAACACTGAAGTATCTATTTGTTTCTGCATGTATGTATGTATATATTTCTGCATACAGATGTTACTCAGTAAATATACATTTGTACAATTCTCTGAGTAAACAAAATAATTCATTGGATTGTGTTATAAATGTCCAGCACAAACAAGTGTTTCCATGTGCATTTAATCTGTATTTATTCACTCTGAATTTGCCAAGCGACATCTTCTAAAATTCTCATGATCTCACATACACTGGTGACTTGAGAAATGTGTAGATCATAGGCGTGCGCACGGGGTGTGCCGGGTGTGCCTGGGCACACCCTAATCCCCGCGGCACGCCTATGCATATTGAGACCGGCAGGGGAGATCTCAGGATCTCCCCTGTCGGCTCATGCAGAGCCGGCGCTATCCGAGCGCCGGCTCTGCCCTCAGCCTCCCTCCCCACTGACCCACATGCAGGGAGGGAGGCAGGAGAGGACCCGGCGGAGCTATTGCCGGCAGCTCCGCCGAGTTCCTCTCGCGATATATGAGCGTTGCCACGGCAACGCTCATCTCGCGAGAGTGAACTCTTGTCCCACAGGGGTTAGAGTTCACTCTCCACTGGACCACCAGGGAAGGAATCAGCAGCACGATCCCCCCTCCCTATAAAAGGTAAGAAGGGAGGGGGGATAGCTAGTTATGTACCCCCATCTCCACCCCCCACATACAGCACCCACAGACATACACAGCACCCACAGACATTCAGCACCCACACACATACACAGCACCAACACACACAGCACACTACCAGTACCCTCACACACAGTACATTAACAGCACACAAACAGCACCCTCACACACAGTACATTAAGAGCATCCTCACAAGCACGCACACACAAACACCCTCACCCACATAGCACACTACCAGCATCGTCACACACACATCACACTAACAGCACCCTCACACAGCACACACACACACACACATATATATATATATATATATATATATATATATATATATATATATATATATATGCGGCGTGTGCTTGTGCTTTAGGGTGCACACCCTAATGCAGTAGGCTGCGCACGCCTATGGTGTAGATGCAGGTAATTTCCATAACTCTCTTCTTGGTATGCAAAACATATAACCAATTGATTTAAAACCTTCCCGTCAGTTTATTTAATGTGTGCACGTAGAAATTTAAATGTTTTATCGAAGGTACATAAGTGCAGTGAAATATTTTGCAAATGATACACTATCTAATGTAATGTACAAAAGCTCTACAGAATGTTTACACTATGTAATAAGGTAGCATATAGTGAAAGATGAAAACTGATTGGTACTCATTTCACAGCCTTTTGTATTTTGTGCTTCAAAAATTAGGGGTGAAGAATTGTGAGCATTTGCGGGCTAAGAGATCTTTCCTTTTTTTTTTTAAATAAAATTTCTGAATATTGGTCTATAACATATAGGGTAGCCTACAGTAAAAGATCCAACATGTATTAATAACAATATCCATTTTAGTAACATATATGATTGCAAAATTTTGAAATAATGAAATAAATATTCTAAAGAGAACATCTTGCTACTGGATTCTTAAAAAGGAAATAAAGCATAACGCATGCATTGGTTGCAGATTGGTAATCACTTCCTGACAAAGTTTATATGAAAATAAAAAGATCAGAAAATTACATCTGCCTTAAAGGACCACTATAGTGCCAGGAAAACATACTCGTTTTCCTGGCACTATAGTGCCCTGAGGATGCCTCCACCCTCAGGGACCCCTTCCCACCGGGCTCTGGGGGGATGGAAGGGGTTAAACTTACCTCTTTCTCCAGCACTGGGCGGGGAGCTCTTCTCCTCCTTGTCGGCTGAATGCGCATGCGCGGCAGGAGCCGCTCGCACATTCAGCCAGTCCATAGGAAAGCATTCACAATGCTTTCCTATGGACGCTGGCGTCTTTTCACTGTGATTTTCACAGTGAGAAACACAGAAGCGCCGCTAGCGGCTGTCAATGAGGCTGGATTAACCCTAATATAAACATAGCAGTTTCTCTGAAACTGCTATGTTTATTAAAAAAGGGTTAACCCTAGCTGGACCTGGCACCCAGACCACTTAATTACGCTGAAGTGGTCTGGGTGCCTATAGTGGTCCTTTAATCAGGAGGGTAGCTCAGGTTTGTGGTGACTGATTTGGGTCCTAAATGTGGAAGGTGAAAATACCCTACAGTTGAGCTTCTTTGGAAATGCTTGGTCTGATGTCTTCAAGAATGTCAGGTGACTTCTAGACGCATATATTCTGTTATTGCAAGTGATAAATCAGCAAAAAGAAAGGTTTTAAGTTTTTCTTGCATTGCTATCATGAGGTGCGACTGATCAGCATGGTGGTCAGCCCTGCCCCTCCTCAATTTCCTTTTAAACATGCAACATGCATTTTTGTAGTCATTTTGTAACGTAAGCAGGTGTTTTTTTTTTTTTTGGTTTTTTTTTAATGCTTGTTTTATCAGCAAAGATAGACCTACAATTTCTTCCTAATATAAAGCCACTTAAAATCTGTGAGTGAGAATATACGGGTTTTTTTTTTCTTGTATTCCTCAAAACTGTAGTAGTTTGGATGCATTCTTAAACCCTTTTAAGAAATGTGCAAAATCTCTCTCTCGTGCTTACTGTTGTGTATCTCTCACAATTTTCTCTGCTCTCAAGCCTCCACCCTTCCTACCCTTCTGCACAGATTATAATATGTAATGGCCAATCCTGCCTCCTGGTAATTTATTGCATTTATATTTATTACAAATCCTGGCATCGTACTGTTGGTAATTCTAATGTGTAGTTAGGTAAATTGCTTAATGGCAGGAAAAAAGAGCACTGGTATGGAAGCAGAATGAAAGAAAATCAAAGTAAACGCTAATCTGCATTTGGAAACTGTACCATTCTTGTTTAGTGTTGTTTGTACTGCATCCATCAGTCTTAACATTCCTCTGAGGGTTTTCCCTTCCATTTGCTGGCTCTGAAGATGATGCTGCTTGCTACAAAGCTTTGGTGCTGAGGCATCACTTCTATATATAGACTGTATGCCTCTAGTTTCAACTGGCAACGGAGCTTTCATTTGAACAGGCTGTGTGTGGTTAGCTCCAAGCTTTGCAGATCTCTCTGTATCTACTTTCCAGTATGTTGTGATGAGTGGATATAGGAAGCTTTACATGCATTCTAGGCAGTTTGAAAAGAGAAAAAAGGCACACAAAAAACATGTTAACTTTAAAAAAAAATAAAAATGAAAAAGCTTGGTGCTTACATGCATTGTCAATTATTGTACTCCGAAAGCCTTACATAGGACATATTGCTGACTTTTGTTGAGCACCTTAAAATAGGCATGTCAACGAAAGGCAATATACATTTTGTGGCCAAATAGAATATGGATTTGGAAGCATTTTTGACCATTCAGGTATCTTACTCAAGTTACTTAAATGCAACTGAAACTTCCACCTCTTATTTAAATTCATACAGTTGTTTGTTTTTTTATGATGGGCAGCAGGAGAAAAGGAACTTTCATAAATATGTGATCTCGATGTTTAGGTCAATCTCTAGTAGTGCCAAATGTCATTAAAGGCATCTAGTGAAAGCCAGTCTGTACAGCTTACTCATGAGACTTCATGCCATTATTAAAGTTCAATATGCCATACACTTGTAAATCTCTGTTGTATGTTTAAAGACAGCTAGGACAGACTGTAGATTTTATTTTACATATTTATTAAAAAGGGACTCCCTTAAGCACCCAGACCACTTCATCTCTTAATTAAGTGGTCTTGGTGCCATGTTCCTGCGTTTCGCTCCAGCAGTGTAACATATTGCCATTTTGGAGATGTGGCAATGTTTACATTGTGGGGCTAAACACTCCTTTAATCTATAGTCCTATTAATCACTTCTATTTGAGATGCGCAAGCTGACTTTTTTTTGTTTTTGTTTTTTAGTAGTTCCTTGGCCTGCTGGGAGACATAATTACCTTGTACAGTTAACAAATATGTAGAGAATTTGCACAATAACCCACCCCTCATTGCCTGAAGCATGTCTTAACATATAACCAGAACTTTAGATACAGCCCCCAAGTTCAAAGATTATTTTTCAGATGCTTATTAGCGCTAAAGTTGTCTTTCGGAAGTATCTTATTGTTTTAGTGCAATCGCACTATAAACTCACTAATTGTTTCATTATTCCTAAAGCGTGACGTACAGGGACTGCATAATATCGAAATGTCAGAATGGCACTTTGAGTCTGCTACATCACAGCACAATAAAGGAAGCAGTATGACAATGACTGATGACTTTTTAGAGATATGAGTTGACCCCATCTATAAAGCACTTACAGAATTCATGGGAGGTTGCAAGTTATTTTCCATATGAAAATGCACAGTGCTTGATGATAAAGTCTGAAATGTGAGTAATTGTAATTAAAGTGAATTATCTTTTTGCACAATTCACCTTCTGTCACTGAATTGGTGACACGCTTTGAGAGCACGTCAGTCCAATATTAGATGTTGCACCGATGTGTAATACATCAGTCTGAGATGACTATTCTCCCAGTGCCTTGGTCATTGCCCTCTTTATGAGGATGAAATATGAATTTCCTGTGAGCAATTAAAGCTGAATTGTTGCCTGTCAGTGTTCTCCGTTTATCTTGCTACTGATGTCTTTAAACCAGTGTTTTGCAGCGAGCACCTGTATTGTTTCAGTGGCTGGTGGTTACAAAACATTTGATTTAATTTGATAAATGCATTTTGAAAGCCGTTGAGAATTTTAAACTTTAAAGAAACACAGACGTTGAAAATAAATGTTATATTTACTTTTGGTTAAAACTTGTTTAAAATAAAAAAGTTGTGGGAAGCAGCCTGTAATCCAATGCCAAGTCGCACTACTGCTGCAACCCAATCAGCCCCTAGTGAGATCAATTCTGGTCGTCTCTGGTTAAGTCCATTAACATTTTCTGTTAGAAACTTTGTGGACCTTATGCCACATGCATGACAATTGCTGTACTTGACCAATCTGCTATTAACTGAATGTTGACGCTAAACGTGAAGATGATTAAAGTAAATCCAAGGTCCTTTAGATTGAATGCATCATTGACCCCCATTTGAGGTGTTTTTCAGCCAAACTTAAATCTTATAGTGACTCAGAAATTACAGGTTTTCACATTGTCTGAGAAAAGACAGTTTCTTTGTACCAAAACAGCTTTATTAGTGGTTTTAAGGTCATTGGGGTTATTTTGGTGCTTAAACAATTTTCACCATTCAAAATAAAACTAATCCTTATTTAAGGGTTACTCTGAGCACCACCACCACTTTACTGTTTTGAACTGGTCATGGTGTCTAGAGTCTGCATGTGGAGCATTGCAAACTAGAGTTCCAGGTTCAGGATTGTATATTACTTAAATTCCCATCCCTTCCCTGTTTAGTACAACAACTTGCACAGCTCACTGTTGGTGTGAAGAGCAAACCCCACCAAAGGAAAGAGAAGTTGGGAGGGTATGTATCATTTCATGTTTACAGGTAGCAATCTCCTTTGCCAGACATCTTTGTTTACTGTATGGTTCATTAAAGTAGTGTGGCCGAATGCACTGAACAATAGTGAATACGTAGCGCGGCCAAATACAACGCAATAAAATAGGAAGTATGGCCGAATGTAGGCCAAATATTGCTGAAACCAAATTTGTGTGGCCGAATGTACTGAAACCATGGTAAATGAGTACCAAGGCTGAACATAGTTCACAATGCACTGAATCCACCTTGAATTTGTAGCATTGCCGAACGTAGTGAAACACAGTGAATATGTAGCATGGCCGACCGTAGGCTGTGTATTGAACCACATTGAATATGTAACCTGGTTGAATGATGTATGTAAAATATACTGTGTGCATGTAGCTTATAATTCAGTACCTCTCAGGATTCCAAGTCCAGGTATACCATGTAACTTCTACAAATAACCTTTTATTTAGGTAAATACAGATGTTTTTTGTTTATGCACGGATTTGAGTTTATTTTTGTAGTCAATTGGTTAAGCATCTCTGGAGTTTTCTATGTACAAAGGAGAGTGCTCTTGCTAGAGGATTGTGCTTTTGAAGACATTTCACCATTAATAGCAGACATTATCTCTGGACGTGCACTAAATCCTGCTGTAGTGTTTGTTACAAACCATTGCTCAGAACGAGCTTTCCACATACTGATCTACTGCTTTAATGATCACTTTAGCAAGATTTCTAAAGATATCCAGATGAAACCAGACATGACGTTAGCTCTCTCTCCGAATTGTGGGGCAGAGTGGAGGCCCACATTTTACATGCATGTCTGGTGACTCACAGATAATACACAATTTAACTCTTACTCTCAAAGCCACACTGTTTACTTTTCCTTGGTCCTGTTATAGTTGTCAGCTGCTGACAGATGGATTACACAGTTTTATTTCCATTGAGATTTGGTATATAGCAAACATTTTCTTAGTCTGCTAGCCTAAGGTTCATTAAGCCAGTCCTCTCAACCAAACTGCTACTAGTTGGATGATATCCCTACTGCTGCAATGATATCTGTGCCAATATTTGCATGAATGATTACCTCCCTGATGTTTCATCAGGTATCTCTTCTCATGTTGTTGTGTTCCAAAAAAAGGCTTTATGAATGATCCATGGAAAACACCACTTGCAGATTAGTTTAACGTAAAATGCAAAATAATATGTGTGTGTGTGTGTGTGTGTGTGTGTGTATGTGTATATATATATATAATATATATATATATTTTTTTTTTTTAATTCTTATTTATTTTTTTGTACAGCAGATCCGTAATGTCATTGGTGTGAGGCAATAACGTTTGTTGCTGTTCAAGAAATGTATATTTTTAGTTTTTACAGCTTCTTTGGAAAGAGGAAAGCATACTGTTTATTTTCACTTTGCTTGTTGGAGTGGTGTTGCAGCTGTGTTTCTGGCCTTTTTGTATTGAGGCAGATTGTATGATACTTGCGTACATATGATAATTTTACATTCTTTTATGTAAAGCCGTATATAGAAATGTTAAATTAAGTGTCCAAGTTGGTTATCGATTGACCAGATGTTGCAAGGCTTCTATACACTGAGATTTATGGTTAGGGAGTACAATACAGAGAGCTGGAAAATATACTCATATTGCTGTACTGCTCTTCTTATCCTTAAAGGTACTCTGTAGGCACACAGACCACTTAAGCTCAATAAAGTGGTCTGGGTGTCATTTTGTAGATATGGCAATGTTTCCACACACTTCTTGTGGCTCCCTTCCTGACTGCCACACTAGATGGTGATTCTGCTGCTATATCCAAGTGAGACTCTGTTCTTCAAGCAGAGAGCATTTGATTGGAGGAGAACTCGATAGCGTTAGGAATATGTTTGTATTGGCGAGCATCTCTCTTCAGCCAGTGTGCATGTAGGTTCCCAAGAGATCTGGTAACCAATCCTTTATGGGTAACCAACTTGCATATGACCCCAGCAGCAGTAATTCTAGATCTCTGATCTCCTGAGGCTAGTAAAGTCCTGATATTACCTAGATTGCAAAGGAATATGCTGCGTGCTTTAAGGGCTTAAATGTTACCACTCATTTGATGGTGTCATAAAAAATCACTTAGTGTTCAGCAGAGTGCCAAGTTTTTCATCTATACTTTATTGCATTCAATACTTATTCTGCACTCTGAACTTATTTTGTAATTTGAGTGTTTTGCATTTAAAATATATATATATATATATATATATATATATATATATATATATATATATATATATATATATATATATATATATATATATATATATATATATAATATATTGTCAAATGACTCTACACCTACCATTATAGCCCAGAGGCTTGTACACCTGTTCCTTCACAGAAAACCTGATTTTTATTTTGTTCATCTACCGGCAAGTCTTAGATGGAATTCACCTATATGGCTTGGTTTAACACTTGAACAGCAAGCTAAGAACTGGCAACAATTTTCACTGTGAGAAGATTAAATGACTTGGCAGATTCCATCCTTCATGTTCTTATTACACAGGACTAAGACCATCAGGCACATTGGAATGCTGGGATACTGCATGAGCTTATAGTGGGGGTGCTCCTGCAGACCCCTGTGAAACCTGTACTGCAGTAAAAAAAAAATTCTCTTTTGCATTCTTTTGTGAAAGTGTAAAATCTAACATTTTTATAATTCTCTAAAACCAGTAGCAATCCACTTTTTTTCAGTTTGCATCTTAAGTCCTGAAATTGCCTTTCTCTGTGACATGATTTTTAACTTTTATAGCATTGGTTAATCTTGGCACTGCAAATGTTTGATTCAATTTCCCATGATGCTTAGCCAGACATATCTGCAGGGATGCCCCCATTCAGCTAAATGCTGCTGGAGGATGTATCACGCAGTATCAGACTTTCTCCATCATAAATTCATCTTGTGTTCATACAGCACAGCTCTCACCCTTGCTATTCTATCATACTTTTCTTCTCTCATTCATTCATGCTCCCATAATCCCCTTTAACTTTCTACTTCGCTCTTCTGAGGCTACCCTTCAAAGTTAACATTCAGTTGATGGCTTTGTGTGCTATTATATTGACAAGATTAATCAGTTTAGGAAAGAATTCTTTCCCCTTCACTCCTCTCTCTCTCTGTCTCACTTGTACATGCATTTCCTACTCTTCAGGCCTTATTCCTAGCTACTGAACAGCAGGTGAAAGTGCTTCTCCTTTCCTCTTGCCCCACCACTTGTCCACTCGATCTCTCCCCACTTACCCACTTGGCTTTCTCAATTCCAACTCTCTCCTTGACCCTCTTCAATCTACCTTATGTCCCTCCACTCTACTGAGACCGCTCTGATTAAAGTAACCTACAATCTTATCGCAGCTATAACCAAAGGCTAGTTCTCTGTACTAATACTTCTTGACCTGTCTCTGTAGTTTTCATCCTCTTTCTCCTAATGTTTATTCAGTGTCTCCTTTTCTAATCACACCACATTCCCCCGTCCTGTCTTGTTTGGAGTCTCCCAAAGCTCAATTCTAGGTTTCCTTTTTTTTTTTTTTCTTTACACTGCCTCTCTTGGCAAACGTATTAATTTCTTTGTATTTTGCTACCACCTCTACGCCGATGACACCCAGATATCTCTCCTACCCTGATCTCTTCTCTGCTCTCATAGAACATGTTACCGCTTCCCTTTCTTCTGTCTATGATTGAATGTCCTCCACCAAAACCCACATCTTAAGAAAAGCGTATGGGCTTCCAGAGTAACTTCTTTTTCACAAACCTGTCTCTCTTAAAAAGCCACACTCCACTGACACCTTCGATTTCTACTACTTTCCCACCTTGTTACTTAGTTTCGATCCCCTTCAATGCCCTTCTTGTTGTTTCATACCACACCTCCTCTAGATTGTAAGCTCATTTGAGCAGGGTCCTCATCAACCTATTCCTGTAACATTTTATAATTGTCTCATTTGTTTTCCCATTTTATAATTGTGTAAAGCACTGCGGAATAAGTTGGCCCTATATAAATGCAAACATTTCGCCCCACTATAACATTCACGGCTACATGATCTTATTACAAGGAAGGATTGAGTAATCCAACAAAAATGTTCTGCCCCGACCACAAAACAGTATTATTGGGGACTCCAGCGAATGCTGGCTGCAAGTGGGAAATAGATTAAACACAGGTTTTCCCTTTTTCCTTGTCTGCCAAAAAGTGATGTCAGTGACATTAAATGATCCTTAGCTGAGCTCACTGTAGCACCAGATTCCCTGCACTAAGCCCTGTTGTGTTGAGCGCTGGTTTATAGGTTGTTAAGGAAATCTGAATGTTGATGAGAAACAATGGTGTGTCCAGACTGTGATCTAAGCAGACAGAGCTCTGATTGCTATACCTAGTGCTTCTCAAGGAGTGTGTTTGACACGGGTGACAACAGCAATTGTTTGTTTGCTTTCCTTCTTCCTGCATTGTTTGCTTCAATTGACTATCACTAGCTCAGAAATGTCCGCTCACTGCAATGATTTGTTCTTTTAATGTTTTCTTGGTGTGATTAGAAATTGTGTGATTAACCCCTAGTGATAGTGTGCAATGGATTATAGAATAGATTTGTTGCTTATTTTCTGTATATTGGCAACCCTTTATGTTCCAGACTTGCAGTCCACTGACGTTTTTCTTGTGACTGCTTACAGTAGTTTTCTTTGACATGCATCATACTTTGAATACAAGTTAAACAGAGTGATCTCAGGGTGTTGGGTATTGTGAAATGTATTTTGTGACTAATCATTAGGACTTTATTGCCAGTTTAATGAACAGTTTAATGTCAGTGAGCGCATAACCGTTCTTCAGAAGCAGACCTTGCTAATGGAGGTGTTGTGAATGATAGGTCCACAGAATCCATTTTCTGTAACATTTTGGGAAGTAGATGGCACTGCATCTGAAGTACAGACTGGTGTGAAAAGCCAACTTGCTTCACAACCCTTTAACATTTGAAGGAATGACAAGGCAGTGCATACGCGCAGAGATTAGATGTTTGATTTTGTATTACTTGCACCTTCAGAACTGGAATTGTGCAAGATCCTTTGCATTTCAAACTGTTTGGGCAGGATAAAGATCAACCCAAAACTGTGGTCACTCCTTGCACAATGAAAGGACTATTGACTAGGGTTTGCAGCAGACACATATATGACGGCAAAACAGGTGCTCTTCAAGGGCATAGTGCTATATAAAGAGCAGTCTCTATAGAAATCAATACATGCCTCTCAAAGTTTAGAACTTTGCTCCCGATAAATAAATGTTCTTTTCTTGATAAATGTCCTAATGTTTTAAACACCACCTTTCACAAAGGTGAAAAGGATGAATTTTAGGTAAAAATTATAAAACTAGATTCTGACATTATTGGAAAAGCCATTAGGTTTGTCTTAGGAAATGTTCCCAGTATTTGATTTCTGAAGCCTGTTTTTAGATGAGAATATCTTGTATCTGTCAGGTTTTGCTCAGCTCATATGTGTAATCTGATGCATTTTTTTTTGTTTTTGTTTTTTGGGTCATTGTTCTATTGCATGTTTTTGGTTTGTTAGTATTTATTATATTTGTGTTTGCCAAGTTACATTTTCTTTTCTTTTTTTTATATTCCAGAATAACAAGCTTTGAAATCTCAGAAAAGAACATTATTTTTTTTTTTCCTCCAATCTCACGGGATTACAGACTCCACAACCTTCACATCACAACCAAGACCTCACATCCTCTTCCTCAGTAGATGGTATGCTGTATCCAGTTCACTTTGTTTACTTTACACGCAAACCTCAGGAGTCAATTGACTGAACCGCACCTTCTTTGTTGTGCCAATCAAAAAGCACTGTGACGTCTGGACAACGAAGAGTCTGATCTACTTCACCCATGCAGTCAATCTTAATGCTCTACTACACTCTGCACCGGGCCTTGGTGTGGACAGACTTACTGCTTGCATATTTTCACAACTCATTCAATTTAAGTTGCTGCTGAAGATTACAAGAAAAAAAAAAACTGTATTACAAGTCATTGTAAATTATTACGTTAAAGAAAAAACTGTTAATGGTTGGTGAGAATTTAAATATTTAACATAGGTTTTTGATTTATACATGTATTTTTTTATTTTTATTTTTTTCCCTTTTGCTAGAGCACATCATTTTGATGTTGGACCTTGAGCTATTCTGTTGTAAACAGATTTGGGGTAAATGCTTAAACATGGCTAATACTTATATAGATTGGGTACTATTCTCTTTTTTAAGATTGCAATTGAAAATGTGTCCTAGATTACTAGGGCTGTTATTTTCAGTTTTATTTAGTGACCGTTATAACAATGATCTAACAGTTTTGCACTCCCTAAAGTAGGGAAAGGTAACTACAGCCTATCCAGCTGTAGGCCTACTACAAATCCCGTGAATCACTTTGGCTGCTCAAGATCATGGGAGCGGTAGTTGGTAAACTTCTGGAGAGGTGTCTGTTGCCTACCTCTGCCTTAAAGTGATGCTTTTATTTCTCTCAGTGCCAGACACGGCTACAGCACACTTAAAGGGATTATGTTAGGTATCTGAAGACCCCATCTACACGCTACTCACAGGTTTGAAAACTTTTTTTTTTTTTTTCATTGCACAGGTACAAGAAAAAATAAAATATGAAATCAAGAGTCTTCCATTGTACATATTGTAAAACAAAAATGGGAAAAAAGTTTGGGGAAAAAAAATAATAAAATAATAAAAAGAAAAAAAAGAAAAAAAAACGTGGAACTTGGCTGAACTCTTTAAATCAAATGTCCCTGGAATGAGCAATGTGGTTGTTTGTAAATTCTGGAAAATCTTTCTATACCTAATAAACTAGATACTGTTTAATTTTTTTTTCTCTGGAAAATATGGTGTTTTGTGGGCATTGTTGTAGGAAAATTGAAGGGTCTGTGTTTATAAGTGACTAACATAATCCAAAGAATTTCACAAAACAGATTTTAATTAAATATATTGCTGATATGTTACAATGCTTAGTAACATATAGTAGAAAAATCACAGTTTTCAAATAGCCAAACAAGGCCTTTCTTTGTAAAAGTGCTGGGGTAGGGACGGTGTTCTGTGGGCAGTAAGTATTTTTTTTAATTTATTTTTTTTAATTTAATTTAAAAAAAGTTGAGATTATTTTGGTTTCATTCCACTTTTCCTTCCCTCTTCACTGTGTGTATGTGTATAAATTTAAAAAAACAAATTTCTATAATGTGTCCGGGCCCCATAGAGCCAATGGCTGCCCTCCTTGTAGTAAAGAGGGATACAAAAGAAAAACATAGCAAGTTCTCAACTGTTATTTAGTAAAACATGCACATAGTGTTAGTCGGGTGCTAAATAGGAATAAGGCTTGTTACCGCCCTTGGACAATCCATACATTATACAAGAAGCCCATAGAACACCATGTTATGCAAAACATTCATTTTATTCACGAAATGCATTACAATAACAATATGAATAAGGTGAATGTACTTAAAACCATTAGTGTAATATAGAGTATACTGACCAGAAGCTGAGGACCAAAGAAAATCCCACAACGGTTCGGCTATGTGCCTTCCTGAAGGCTTGAACGCACATTTTGGGGTTAAACCATTTGGAAAGGGTGCTTTGCCTCTGCATTGCCTTGGCAGCAGAGAGAGGAGTCATTTCTTTGTTGGCATGGCAACAAATTGATTTGTTAAACCTTGACTTCAACATATCTAAATGCACTCTCTATGTAGCATTAATATTTCTTTATAAGGGCACTCCAGGCTCGAATCCACCTATTCTTATCAATGTGTAATACAGGTAAATTCTAAATATAGCCAAAAACTGCCAAGTTCAACATAAATTGCCAGGCTTTAAAATATTTGCAATGAATACTACCCAGTTCAAGAAATGGTAAACACTTGGGATGCTACATTTTTCTATGGCAAGTAATGGCAGCAGTTCAGCATTCGTTTGTGTTGTAGTTTATTGGTTTTGTACATATGAAGACCTCACAGACCTCGCAAACTCACATAACTCTTTGCTGTGCTTCCAGATGGCACATACAACATTTGGAACACTTTACTGATGGATTTAGAGGTGTCCGCCTGACATGGAGCACCCCCGTGCTGTATGGCCGGAGCATTAACCCAGTACCTGTGTGCAGGGTTTATTGTTTACTTGACACACAACTGTGTCATTGAACAATAAGAGTCACTGATGGCGCTTCAGGTTGGAAACCACAGGGTGAGATGGTGCATCAAGTGGCCCAGTCACACAGGGCCACCCGATAAACATATCTTAAGGGGCCCGGGCCAGGAAAGGCATAAGCCCCTCTGCTGCCCTTCTGCACTCAAAAGGTACAAAAGTGGAGAGTGGCTAAAATTGTGACGTGTAGGTATCTGTATATATTTGTATCTGTGTGTGGCAGTGTTTCTATCTGTCTGTAAATCTGTATGTGTGTGTGTGTATCAGTGTGCCTGTGCAACTGCATGTGTGGCTGTAAATCTGTATGTGTCAGTGTTTCTATGTGTGTCTGTGCAGCTATGTGTGTCAGTGTTTGTAGCTGTGTGTGTCAGTTTGTATCTGCGTGTGTGGCAGTGTTTGCCCCCTAATATTACTCCACCATTTAACTGTAGCAACCATCTCCCTGTGACACCTGTCCACTTAACCTTGTACTTCACCCCTTACACATATAATACTCAGAACTTGCTCTAATATAGAAATATCCTTACAATACTCAAATCTAGGTACATTAACGAGATACCAAAACACAGAGCTACTTAATGAAGAGCTGCACACAATACAAAGATGGCCATTCATTACACAAAGCTGGATAGATTAAAAAAAATATCCATTGTACAGGCTGAGATAAGTAAAATATAGAGATATAACTCCCACAGCTAAGCACAATAAGGAGGTACCCATAACTATCCCTCACAACAAGAGACACTGTGATGATTACACAGAGCTGCAATACAGAGATACCCACAAAGTACAATGCCTCTATATAATGCTCCAGTTCTCTCTGCCTAACAAGGTTATTTACTTAAGTGAGAATTATTAGGACCTCAAAGTGAATTTTAAATCGAAGGCAAAGATATGAGCAGTGGAAAAATTCTCCAAGTCAGCTCTGCTTCCAATTTCGCTATGTTGGTCTCAAATTTGTACTTCACTTTGATTTCCTGTCAATTCTCATTTTAATGAATAACCCCATGAGTCTCTAGCTCTCCCTTTTCTCATCGCATCTTCAGCATGGCTCCTGCTATGACAATGTTAGCTTTCTAGTAAATGATGTTCCTGTTTTGAAACATGCCCACCACAGCTGACTCACTATCAGCTCACAGCACACAACATACACAGGGTAAACCAGCAGGACACTGATAAACTCATTATAACCTTTGCAGCTGGCAATATAATCTGCATGGGTATTATGGAGCCAAGAAGTAGCCCACATGGTTAACAGAAGCAACAATCATTACATGTTGAATTTAGAATCCCTGCAGTACTGAGCTTCATAACTTTTTAACTAGCCGCAGTGTGTGTCTCAAGTCTTGTGGCTCAAATGGTGGACACTTGGCCGCTGAGCCTACACTATGCAATGTGCAGTAGGTGTTATTAAAACGATTAATTACTGGCAGCACCCTGCTGTCAGAACCGTCTACCATTTTCCATCCCCTCCTTTGTCCTCTCTGGACTTCTCTGACATTAGATATGTATTAATTAAAGAGAAGGAGAAACTGCAATAATTGCCTCTGAGGGTTAACTCCTCCTCTAGTGACTGTCTATCAGACAGCCATTAGAGGGACTTCTGGAATTGAAACCTTCGGTCCATTATCTGACGCTGGACGTCCTCACGCTCTGCATGAGGACCTCCAGCACCCCATAGGAAAGCATTGAATAATGCTTTCCTATGGGGAAATCCTAATGCGAGCGCGGCCATTGCTGTGCATGCGCACTAGGTCTCCCCCGCCGACTGACCTGGATGGAGCGTGCACTGGATTCACCTAAGTGACTAAAGGGGTTTTAACCCCTTCAGCTGCGCGGGAGAGGGGACCTTAGGAACCTATAGTGCCAGGAAAATGACTATTTTCCTGGCACTATAGAATGCCTTTAACTCTTAAGGACCAAACTTCTGAAATAAAAGGGAATCATGACATGTCACACGTCATGTGTCCTTAAGGGGTTAATTAGAGGCTTATTGGGGAAATACCAAATAATATTATATTACATTGGGCAGCGACCAGGAGCTGCTACTATGGTGCTCTCTTTCTGGTATTTTCAAAATGTCTTCTTGCTTCACTGTCATGTGTATATCCTGGTGCTATAAACCAAAGATGACCCATGAATAGAGAGGCCAATAGCATGTATCCACTTGTGGGCAGCTGGCTTTGCTGCCAGAATGACAACTCAATGAAGGCATATGCAGGGCGGGGCTACCTGTAAGGCGACCTAGGCATGGAGCGCCGGATCCCTGTGCCCGGAATCACTGGTGCGGCTCCTCATGCTGCGCCGCCTGAGCGCTTTTACAAGCCTCAGGCGGCGCAGCACTGCTGTATGGAGGGCGGCCGGATTTGAGTGACACCCACCCAATTGTAATACCCCTTATCTACAAAGAGAAGGTGACATGGGGAAGAAGAATAAAAAAAAGAGCTGATAAAGGCCCAACAAGCAGGGACATAGGAGTGCTCCTGCAGGGCTCCCAAAATTCCATATGGGATAAAATGGCGATGACTGAAGAGGAATCCTCTTACTAATCAGACGACATACCATTTGACCCAGGAGAATGGGCCTCAGCTAGACCACAGCCGCGACACAACAACAAGCTTCCCTCCACGGGAGACCGGTCACAGCAGACCTACTAAAGAGCATGCTGGCGGAACTCCGGACAAATATTGCGGCCGACATGGCCTTTGTCAAGAAGGCCATTGCAGGCGCCAACTGTCGCCTTATCCTGCCTCATCAAGCACCTACGACACTAGGGTTACCACCTTGGAGAACCACCTTCAAAAACACCACCATAGACAGGGTTGATGCTCTGGAGGATCAGAGAAGGCATTATAATTTGAGGCTCCGGTGGATCCCGTACTCTTTGACCTCACTGGTGTGCCCCACTATGTCCGACGCCTGATTAACACCCTGTTGTCACCAAAACAAGTAAAGGTCGTGAAACCAGACAGCATGTTCTGATTGCCAAAGCCAATTACAGCACCGCAGGCTGCACAAGCTGACCTCATTGTTCGACTCCAGGCCCTGCAGCCACTCTTACTCACCCTCCGCAAATGAAAAATACATTTCCCCCACATTAAAACTGGTGGGGTGCTGGCCCATGTCCCCATTTGGACAAGCCACCACTAGATTCCACAGTTCCTACATGAGTTTCCCAAGTTTCACCCCGTCACGTCTCATGCCTGCTATTGATTTCATCAAGCTTGTATGGTTGAGATTTATAACAGGCAATAATGATTTGATACTCAAATTAGTATTATTGAACATCATAAACCATAAGGCTAAGTTATAAGAGATATTTATGGGTCTTCAAAAATCTGAGATGTTCAATATTTTGTTTAGTTACCAAACTGAAAAAAAGATAAATAAATGCAATGTGTGTGAGGTTTGTAGTTGAGATAAAATGCAAGCAGCTTTATAAACAAATGAAAAATCAGGGTGCAAATGGGTTAAAAGGAGGGAATGAGGAATCCAGACATGGTGGTCGTGTCTTACAGAAACAGATAAATATGTTTATAAAGTCAAGATACTCTGTTTCTATGCCACTCTAGGTGCCCCTTTGGAGGTGACCAAAATATGGAAGATAGGTGATTTTAAGTAAGTTGTCAGATATTCAAAGTGAATTTTAAATTTAAGGCCATAATAGCCAAGCTTGAAAAAAAAATCTCCAAGTCAGCTATGCTTCCAATTTGGCTAGTTTGCCCTGAAATTTGAAATTCACTTTGGATTTCTGACAATTCTCAGTTTAGTGAATATTCCTGTCAGGGGCCAGGGAGGGGATGCAGGCCAAGGTGAGTTCTACTTACCTAAACCTGTCCATCTTGTCCCGGTGGATCCTCTTCAGCTCCCGGTGCTTCACTGCTGCATTGACGTCTATGGAGGAT